ATAGCTGTGTAGTGATTCTTGACTTTTAATGGCTGTTTAATCAAAACCAATCCGTGATGTGAGACTTCAAACTAAACAATTACTATAACACTCTATAATAGCGACCTATGTTATGTAATACTACATACTCTTATTTATAGGTAAAAGGATGTAAGACTATGGAATTGTGTTTTAATTTAAAGACCATTGTTTACAAAATGTATATTATATAAATACATAGCAGAAAGATATTTCAGAACACGGACTAACATATATTCGATTCTGTCTAATATTAGGTGAACTAATTTAATTCCCGTAATAAAAATCATGCTTGGTCAAAATTATTTTATGTGAAAATCTCGTCTGTTAATTTAATTCAGAATTCATTTTCACAGAAAAAAAGAACACATCCAACTTGTAAAAACGTGATAACTAATTTTTGGCTAACTAAATAGAGACAGAAGGAACAAAATAATCGAAGATGGTGTTAAGTAACAGTCTCATGAAAATAATGAATGTTTAAAAGATGTTAATATGTATTGAATAGAGACTGGTATTTTAAGAACAGTATGCAAACGTGTTTCAAATATCAAGCCATTAACTAATCCAAAATGTAGGCCTGCCTAGGGTGATGTTCATGCATAAGAAGTCATAAAATTACCTAACGTAAATAGAGAAACAGATTAATATATAACTAAAAGGTCAGACCAAAGTGAATGGACGAGCAAATGTGGTATTATGCTTCATAGTTCAAAAGAAAATGTTGATTATCGATAACACGCTTGTTAATTCCGATGAAAATGTAATATCAATAATGGTTGAGATCATGAGTCAACTGAAGCTCAACCATTGAAATTACTATAATATCCACAAAAAGCCTAATATGAAAATGTAATAATAACGCACTTATAAGAAAAAGTGCTATTTTGGAAGATCATTTTATGTGGCTATGAATAGAACAGTTGTCTACTATCACTTATCACTATTGCTTTTTCCATCTGTCTTGCTTTCGCTACCTACCACGGCACATGATGACTGAGTAGTCTCTTTAACATATTATGTTTAAGATGCCTGCGCTCTTCATCGTGTTCAAAGCAAGATGGGATGAGTTTTTGAGTGCCATTAGTTCTGTAAGTGTTGCTGAAATCCAGATTTTTCTTAACCTTTCAGTTTAAGTAGCTAGTAGATATCACTGCTGTTCTCATTAGCTTTTTGGATATTATACCAAGCTACCTCACTATGGGGATCATATGTATGGTTGACTAGCTCATTCTAAATTGTTTCTGAAATATATTCCTTTTTCATTATAAAGTCGAACCTTAAATGGATTACTTCCTGCGGCTTTTCTACGTCCAGCAAGACACATGCTCTTACTAGAGCATGATTCGAGTCCAAACATGTGCTTCAAAATGAGCAGCAGTCTTCGGTCGAGTCTCTCCAACTATGGCTGATAGCAAAGTGGTTTATTTGAGTCCATCAATGAGTTGATTGTGGAGATAACCATATTAGACTATGTTTCTTCATATGTTTATCTAAGCGAAGTTGCAAAAGACGGTCATCATTATCGGTTCGCTGAGCTGCAAAATCGTAAGATCAGTCTAAGTACATTGCGTATTGATTTAACCTACCTACTTGAGCATTAAAATCGCCTACCACTATTACTACAACAGAGCATTGGACATTTTGGAGATTGGATAGTTTAATATAAAACTCATCTTTAACTTCATCTGAGCTGCAATTAGCGAGAGCGTAGGTACAGACAACGAAAAGGCAACTGAATACGTCAACTGCCTTTTTATAGGAAGTTTTGAGTGTGTTATCTCCAAATTTCAAAAGGCCTTACCACCGGAGATCCGTGGGGTAAGGTAAGGTGTGGGATTTTTAGGATCGACCTTGTCTAACTCCTTCCGTTGTGAGGTGGAATCGCTGCAGATGATGATTTTCTGGAGAAAAACCTAATTGCTTTCACATCCCTCTTATAGTCAGCGGGACAATTTCGCGCTCAGATCTCAAGTTCCTCCTTGCAGTCTTACTGTTCTCCAACCGACCTGCCTGGTATGGTAGAAACTAAGGAAATATGTGTTCCAGACAATATGACAAAACTTTCTCAACTGGAATTATCCATTACATTACTATCATAAGGCACAAAAGAAAAACATTGAGGATTTATTCAAGTAGTAATTTGAATATTTGTTTAAAACACTTAGTAATAAAAGTAGCTAAGAGAATAATAACTGTAGTGTCAACGATATTTCATGTTTGATTTTTAAATAACAATACAAGTTTTGTACCAATTGAAAAAAGTGTTGTCACATTGTGAGTGTAGTTAAAAGTCTAGACTATGCAGAGATGAGAGAAGGCAGTGTTGTTGTTACTGCAAAGTAGACCTATAGAAATGCAATAATCAGATTAGCATTCAGGGAGCAGAAAAATAATACAACAAAGTCGCATCATTCTTTCCGACAATAATGATAGCAATAAAAAATTAAAAAAAGGAATAAACAAATCAGTACATGATACAATATTGATGAATATATCATGAATTAACGGTGACATTGTTGGTTATCATACCACTGTATTTTTGATTTTGCTTTCTAGAACGTTTTAAGAACAAACACATATTGTTCGTCATTGTTACCTCATCGTGTGTTATTAATCATAAAGATGTAAAACATGGCAGTCGAAAAAGATGTAAAGAAACAAAACAACACGCGATTGTCAGTATGAAAACAAAAGAAGTACAAACAATGAACAAAATATACAGGGAAAAAACACAAAATAACAAAGTTGAGAAAAAATAACTGATCACAATGAGTATGCGTTGTTGTACTTGCACACACAATACAGCAAATGAAGGTTCCTATATCCTGAATTATTTATTAATATGTATGATTGTGTAGAGGAAAGCAAATAAAAGACTTGGAATATTGCATATGATTATTAAAAAAAACTATACGTAATCATTAATACAAAGAAAAAGACTGTACGACAAAGAAGAACGTATAGTTCACTGTTTCTCTCAATACTATTACTTCTATTATTGATATCGCTTTACAAGCAATATATATTTCAGTAGTATTTAGAAAACATACATATTATTAATCCTCCTATGCGTTGGAACAAAACAAAATAGAATAAGTACGCTGAGTAAACTACTGAAATTGTGGAATTCTATTATCAAAAAACAATAAAAAGTAGGAGGGGAGTGAAATAAGTAAATAATGACTAAATTGAAAAAAACCCAATGTCACTAGTTGATATGCTTGTTCGGATGTAATTTATTAGTGAGTACAAGTTTACAACACACAAATATATACATAGAATCTACTGTAAAAAAACATGTAAATGCGATAGACTTTTGCGTATTCCCTCCACGTATCTTCTTGTTAATTAAGAGTTCTTTTTTTGAATCGAGTAATTTGAACAGATATTGCATTTAATTACCAAACAACAGAGTATAACCGGACACATGTATATCTACAATAATATAAATCAAAAGAAAAAAATACAGTGAAAATTGTTTAACAGCTGTAAGTTACTAGTCAGAAATCAGTTGTCATTAGCAACAGTTGAAATTATAAGATGATTTACAATTTAAAAGACTACCAACTAACTAATCAGTAAAAAAAGAAGTTATCATACAAAAAAGTTCAATTGGACTCGATATATTTGTTGATAGATCAGTACACGAGACTGTAACTGACAGATTGGGAATAAGTTAAGAATGGTAAATCGTATAACAGTAGCCGATTGGTCAAATGAAAGCTTATGATAAAAGGAATACGAATATATATATAATCTGGTTGCTTAAAAGTTATCCAATAGCAATATATATAATAATAGTCCATAAATAATTCCTAGCAATTACCATTCATTTATTCTTCGTTCGGATGTAATAATAAGAATAATACAATTTCACATATTTATCGACTTTTGTCATTTGATGAAATATAAGGACAAACAATAATCGATAACTGTTATAAGCCCTATATAATTTCAACATAGTAGGAATCACATAAGAAGGTAGATACAATCAGATGACAATTAACAGGGCACTTACATAATCTATCTTGCCTAAGTCATCCAATCATAATGATAATCATATCATCCTTTAAAGGGTAATTGAGTTGACATTCACATTTTGGATTTTAGTTTTTGTCTGCTACCGATAAATTGAATGTTTCATTGTGGATCATTTCACTATTAAAGTAAATAGTTATGGACATATTTTCTATATTTTTGACGGAAAATTTGAAACATTCAAATGGATGTTTGTATTGTGATTAATTACCCTGATAGGTAGATGCTGTTATACTATCATTTCATAATTGTTTATAGTTGAATACAGCTGAACATCTTATATCGCCATTTGTTGATCAGTAAGTGTCTTAACTCCAACCGTCTCATTGCTTAAATCGATGAATAATTATTATACACTAGAAAAAAAGTGACTGATTGAAGTTACACATTAACACCGTTGGATGCCGGGTCAGTGGTCTAGAGGTTAAGTGTATGCGCAAGAGACCGAATGTCCTGTGTTTGAGTTCCATGTGTGGGATTGTGGATGCTCACTGTTGAGGAGACCCATACTACGACGAAACGGCCGTCCAGTGCTTCTAGGTTTTTAATGGTGGTTTGGCTTAGGTCGACTCGTGAATTCAGCCGTAAAAATACTATGATCTCCTCAAACCACCCTAATGATACAAAATTAATTATCAGATTAATATGATAGAATAGGGGGGAGGGAGTTAAAAACTAAACTTGATAGATTAGATATAGTAATTCATTTCATTGGAGGTAATTTAACAATACTCAGTATATATATATTCATTACAAAGCACAAAACCGGTTAGTTCGTAATGCACATGTATAACATTATTCAAAATGGACGACTTACATAACTTTGTAAACAGTAATCAAGTTGAATTGCATACTATTATCATTCTTTTTCAATGTAGACAATAATAATAACAACATAGCAAGCGGCAAATCATATCATTTTCAAGTACACTTAATTATAATCACCGGAAATATTTAGCACCCGAAACACAAATAAATTTCTCTAAAAATATTTCAGAATCTAACACAGCGATATGAGCAGCACGACCAATTAGTGTATTTGCTGAATTTGTTAGATTATAATGTACATCATAACGTACTACAGTGGTACGGGTTGATTGGATAAAACGTTGTAATAAATTTGTAACCATTTCCATATAAATAATTCCTGTCACATTCATGAATAAAATATGTAAGAAATATTACTGAATTATTGACATAAAATACAGCAAAATGTTAGAATTTGATAAAATCAAACAAAAAATGTATGAGTCAATAACAGTTAGTATGGGAATTTGTGGAGATCATAGTATTTACACAGTTGAATTCATGAATCGATCAATGCCAGATCACCTTTGAAAACCTGGAAGCACTGGACGGCCGTTTCGTCCTATTGCGGGACTCTTCGACAGTACGCATCCACGATCCCGAACAGGACTTTCGGTCTCGCGCACGAACGCCTAACCTCTAGACCACTGAGCCGGCATCCAATGGTGTGAATGTTTAACTTCAACCAATCCACGATATTGTGCATCCGTCACAAATCAATCACTTAAGCACGTGTTATAAACTGAGTTTTTAATAGTTACAAACTAATTAATTTGATATGTTGTACAGTGTATTTATAGATAATTAGTTTGTAACTCAGTCAGTTAATCAGCTTGACACAAATACGGGTTGGCATAAGTTGCATACTATATTACCGCGATGAGGTGAAATTTTACAAAATGAGTCAAAATAGCTAAAGTAGCATAATGAGCAGAATTAGATGTTGAAAATGTAGTTCGAAAAAAAGAAATGGAAAGATATGTGTGCAGGAAAACTGGCGGATAGAGAACGCATATACACCACACTGTGACTGACTCTGCGTCATGTTACCTAAACTCTCCAAACAATTGATCGTGTCTATCTTTCGAATGGCAACCAGGTTGCTTGGATTTACAACAAGATAGTTAAGATCAACAAACAATAACTTTTTGGATTGAACTAGATCCCTACAGGTATGAATATCAAACAACTAGTTCTGTTATATATGATTACTAATACGAAAAAAAACGAAATCGTTTTTTCGGAATTTTCGAATGCCCAATACACAAAAGATTTAAAGATGCTTTTGAGTTTTCTAAACTAGATGGTTTAATGACAGAGCTTTCATCGTCATTCTGGAGAAATTCATCAGCGCTAGACAATACACAAGAAGAATTGTGTTCAGACATTATTTTAAAGTACTAAAATGCATTGTAGCATTGTTACTACGCGAAAAAAGTGAATGAACTCATCTTCAATCAGTTTTTTTTGTAGAGGCGTATATCCAGAAAGCTCATCAAAAAGTGTTTGTTGAAATGACCCACCACATTTAAATCAACCTCAGAAACTAAGAAGCGGATAATCTTATCACCTATGAAAAACAACTCAGTAATTAAGCATTTATTCCACTTTATTTTATGCAAACCAAAAGACATAATAACAAAAGACAAGTGCAATATCATCTACAAAATAAACTACACCAACTGATAAAAATGTTAAATTGGACAAAACGAACGCCGTGTTCGCCAATGCATTAAAAAAACTTTCTTTGGAAAAACACGGTATATCATCACTGATATCAATGCATTTAGACAACGACAAACATATATTTAACTGAGGAGACGGAATTCTAGCAATGTAAAAGGAATTATGAAAAGATGATATTCAGATTAATCAGAAATCAATAGACTCATTGAGTTACAACCGATCTATCAACCTATCTGAAAGATATCAATCCACAGCCTGGTTGGAGGTCAACTGACAGAGAAACCCAACGTAAATAAGAGGACAAATAAAGACAAGTAAAACTTTGAAAGTAACTGATCACAAAGAAGGCCACAAGTACAAACTGATTCAAGACTCGCTGAAAAAATAAGCAGTCCACATTTACTTGACGTAAGAGCTGATGATGTTCACTGGAACGATAATGAAGGCTACGCAATCAAACCATTTGGCTCCAAGAATTCAACAGCATCACAAGAATCTAACTGAGCCGCAAATCTTCTCCGTCACACTCAAGTTTAATTAGAGTTGATCCAATAATGATGAAAAAGAGTAATAATAATAATAATAATAATAATAATAATAATAATAAAAGTTTATGTTTATTTACATCGATACCTGGATGTGAATACAGAAATAATAAATAACTAATTACAGTACATTCTAACTTGTATTTAAAATATTTACAATATGAATACTAGTTCTAATTATTTGTATATGTTGAAATTCATCAAAGTCAAGTTGAAAAACTACATTTCCCACAGCAAATACAATTTCATCAAGTTAACTTTATATTTTCACAGATTGAAATCATGAGTCAGTTATATGTTATCTTTTTTACTTCAATAGTATCTAGGAGAATAGATAATAATTAAAAGGCAATAGTTTCACTAGGAAGTAACAATGTTGAATATATACAAGAATGATGATGAAGGCTTGAATTTTATGGAAACACAAACTTCCTGAGGAATATCGATACACACTATTGACGGGTACCAACTAGCACAAAGACCAGGTGTTGGGTTTTTAGCTGATTGTCTCCAACCAGTTAACATTGTAAGGAAGGCCTCATGAAAGACGATTATGAATGAGTTAATTAAAGCTGATGATTTCTGCACTTCCCATCTTACGGATAAATATTATGTGGAAGTCATGGTCAATTACTGATGTTTATAAAAGAATAATAGATTAATTTTGGTAAGAAAGCATGATGAAATATCAATTTCAACTAACAGTCCTGTAAATGCTACTCTAGTGAATCATCATCAAAGCCAGAATTTCGAACTGAAACTAGGCTTTACCAATGGGTGTCACACTAACCTGGAGGCTATGATACAAATCTTTCTGTTTGTTTCCTCCAAAAAATCTACTGAATGCGGTGACTCAAAGGTTATTCATTCAAAATCCAGCTATAATCAAATAGTAATGTTGAATTATGATTCTCAGCGTTTAACAATAATTAAGGGTGCAAGTCGTGATTATCAAAGATAACCCAATTAATGTCACATATTTACTAGTTTCTCATTTAATATAAAATGTAAATCTTTTACGTGAATGTTTCCAGGTTACAACTAAGAAAACTTGTACTCCTACAGAATGGCAATTGAGGCTACAAACTTAAGAAGGACAGTAAAGTTCGAAACAGTTACTCTCTTGTTTACAAAAAACAAGGAGCAAACACTTGACGACATTTGTATGGATATCAAAGGGGGTAAATAGAAAAAACACACACTTAAATAAAACTAACCAAGAGTAGAAGAATCTTTAATTGCAGCTTTACACAATTCAATTCGTGTTGAATGATACGGTACATAACGATCTTGTGGACTTCCAACCAACAGAACATAACGAAATAGGTCCAAGCCAGGATTAGTACTTAAACGATATAAATACGTATTACGTAAATCTGGATCATCTCGCAGTCTTAATTGTGAAAGACTTTCAGATTTTTTAATTTTTTGCATAACCCATATGCCCATATTAATGAGACCAGATGAATTGTATACTGTGCCTAAATGCGGACCACTTAAAGACAGGAATGTGTGCAATTTAGATAAATATGGTTCCATTCGTGAATTCAACAATGCTGCACGTATTATAATACAACCCATACTATGTCCAATAAAACTGTAATAAAGAAAAAAATAACAATAAAGCAAGAATGAGTAAAAAACGTAAGAATAAGAAAATTAGTGAATGCATAAAGATAATTTTCGCAAATCGAGTGACCTTGAAATATAAGCTATATTCAGCGCGCTGATTCATAATCTAAACAACGTTGATTAGAATGCTGTCACTAAGCACATCCAGGAGCTACATAAAAAATAAAATACCAATTCCATTGTCGACATACTGAGCAAATGTTTGGTGGAAGATGAAATACATAAAGACTTCGATTAGTAGCTTGAGTATATCTACAAAGTGTCAAGGACAAATACAAGATTGAAAACCTATTGTGTAAATATTCTTATTCTTGCATTGTTTATCAAAGATAAACAGTTATTTTCGAGGGATATATATATATATATATATACCTAAACTATAATGTACTTCAAGTTTTGTGGTGGGGGTTTAGCCTCGCAGTGATGAGGGATTCACACTGAAACCAAATGGCTGTCTGAATTCCCTATGATTTTCATTGGCACCCTAACTGAGATAGATCTATAACGAATACAACATTAAACCATACTTCGTAAAATACCTTCAACTGAACAATATTTTTACTGGTAAGTTAAGAAGCAACTAATTATGAATATAGTCCTTATTACGATTAACACTAGCCAGCAAGCCATTGAAAACAAGAGAGGATTGGAAAACTGTTTCATCATCAGTATTATCCACCCATGGCTCATTCACGGATCGAGTCGCACTGATATTCAACTATGTAATCATTTGAATAAATACATTGAACATATTGAATAGAGGTTGTCCAATTGTTCATTCTTCGACAGAAAATATTGAGAATGTAAACTAAACAAAATAAGAAGTGTTTACCTAATTCGTTTTGGTTTTTCATCCATTTCATCGATATAATTTACAATTTCATTAACTAATTTCTCACTCATCATATCGAAACCACCGAATGTATCGTCCTGATTACACTCTGACATAAGGAAATGTAAGTTGCAATCTGGTAAAGCTAGTTGAAGATAAACGCGTACAAGACGCAAATCACATGAGTTACCTGATAAGCAAGAAAAAAGAGACAAACATTTGTGACACTAAAACATTATTTTCTATAAAACAATTAATTTAAATCAAGAATCCATCAAAACGGGTTCATTATCAAAACTATGCTATACCGATATATATACCTTTTATCATAAACGTTCGATTAACTTCTTAGTTTTTGTTGTATGACTTATTTTTAATCTGTTGGCAGTTTTATAACTCAGTCACCTTTTGGCTTGATCTTGTATAATTAATATTTTTCATTTTGTGGTGTGATGTGGTCTGATCTGTTTGTACACAAACTGCATGTGCCTGAAATACGAAAACGATCTTGAACTCGTGATCATTGATCTTGTGTTCTTCCTCTTCATTCCGAGCTAGTTAGAATTGGGCCAACCGTCGTCAAGCATAGGGAATCAATCTTTTCGTACTTGTTACGTATTAATAGCTTAAGGTTATCCATACGTATTGAACGGTGCAAGTGTATAAAACAAGTCACTGTGAATTCAGTACATAAATGAAGTAAATTGAAGACTGAATTGAATTTTTCTGTAGTTCATCAAGCGGCTAAGAAGTAGTTTTCATGGACGAATTATTGAAGCCTTGACGGACACCACTTGAGGTTTCATAATCAGATGACAGTTCGCCATAAGCCCTGACTCGATTGGTAGTGTTCGAGTAAAGAGCCTTCACAAGGTTTATGTACTTCTGAGGTACACCTTTCAATGACAGACACTGCCACAGAATCTCGCGGTCTACCGAGTGAAATGCTGCTTTCAAGTCAAGAAAGACCACCATCGTCGGACGTCGATAAGTATGCCTGTGTTCTAGAACATGACGAATGGTAAATATGTGGTCGATGCAGCCACGACCAGGTCTGAAGCCAGCTTGGTTCTCTCGTGTTTGCAGTTCACGAGTCTTAGTTAGGCGTCTGATAATTATCGAGGCTAGTATTTTAGATACTATATTTGTTACACTAATCTCTCTATGGTTGTCACAGGATGATTTTGACCCTTTCTTATATATTGGGACGATAAGTGATTGTGACCAGTCAGATGGAATAACGTCTGACTCCCAGATCTTAGCTAAAATATTAGTCAACCTAATCGCTAAAACTGGACTACCATCCTTAAAGACTTCTGGAGCCAATCCATCTGGACCAGCTGCCCTTCCTCGTTTCAGATTATCTATAGCCTTTTGAACTTCTGCTAGAGTTGGGGGACCTACTTCAATGTTCCATTCACACTGTCTGGGAATTGAGGGTAGTTGTAGAGTAGCTGAAGGCCAGCTAAACTGTTCTCTGAAATGTTCCACCCATCGTTCTGGACGTCTGAACTGAGAGCAGATGAGTGTGTCGTTTTTTTCCGATATAATCTCACTTACACTTGACTTATTAATTCCAGTTTCTTTTATTAGTCTGTAGAGCTGTCTTGTGTTCCCTATAGTCGCCGCCTTTTCCATCTCTTTTGCTTTCGTTTCCCACCACTGCTCACGGTCGTTCCTTAGACTTTTGGTTAACCTAGATCTGATTTGTTTACGCTCTTCATTGTGTTCAGAACCTGATGGGATGAGTTTACGAGAATCCATCAGTGTGATAGACTTTGAAGAAATCCACTGGTTCTTTGTAACCCTGTGGTTTAAGTCACTAATAGATGTCACTGCTGTTTCCACAGCTGATTGTATAGCTGTCCAAGCAACATCTGGGTCAACCTCGTTTTCAGAACTACCTAATTGTGACCTCAGTTGTTCCTGGAACCTACTTTTGGTTTTCTCGCTACTCAATTCAGTTCTAATGGGTCTTTTTAATGTGGCTTTCTTGCGTCCAGTGAGGCGCAAGCAGATGTGTGCCCGTATTAGGGCGTGGTCAGAGTCGAAGCAGGTACTCCATAATGAGCGACAGTCTTCTATCGACCCTCTCCAACGATGACTGATGGCAATATGGTCTATTTGAGTCCATCGTTGGTTTGGTGTAGGAGGTCGCCATGTTAGACGATGTCTCTCCTTTTGCTTAAAATTTGTGTTTGCTAAAAATAAACGATTGTCTGAGAACAGTTGCAGCAGACGATCACCATTATCTGTTCGCTGTGTCGGAATACTAAAATATCCACCTAAATGCCTGTCTGTTTGGTTTAAACTACCTATCTGAGCATTAAAGTCACCCCCTATGAGTACTATGTCTGAGCGTTTAGCTTTCTGAAGAAGTTCGGACAGCTTTCTGTAAAGTTCATCTTTCACTTCATCTGAGCTGCAGTCAGTGCGGTTATCACTTCCCGGTTGCCCACACCGTGGAAGGGTTCTTCTGGAGGTACCTGAAAAGGAAATTGGATTAGAGGTGGTCTTAGTGACCTGAGAGCGTGGCCGCAGTGCACAAGGGACAACTGCTTGAGGTCGGTCACACACGACCTTTTTATGGGTGATTTTAGTGTTAGCTCCGTACCTGTTGAGACCTTACCTCCGGAGACGGATATCCGTGGGATAAGGCGAGGTGTGCATTTTTAGGGTCGACCGCTTCTAACCCCACCCCTCCTTGTGGGAAGACAGTATCGCTGTCATGCTGGTTGTCTGAAGGAAACACCTTACTGCTGTCACACCTATGTACAGTCAGCAGTACGACTTCGCCTTCGGACCTTGGGTTTGTTGCTTTTAGTCTTACCGCTCTTCAACCGACCTGTCTGACATGGTAGGACCTTGAGGAACGGTTGTTCCATCCAGTATAGCTCGGTTGCTTCATCACGATAGGCAAGCCCGACCACCACGTTAAGGTAGCAACAACGGTCGGGTAAACTAAGCAATGAATTAAGCAATAACGAATGACATTTTCAAAACTAACGATTGTATTTTTCAGTGAAATCAATCCAAGGAGTAACTAGTAGGTTTAGTTAACGCAGACCCTTATAATCATTTGTAAACTTATAACGAAAGATATCCGAATTAGCAATAATAAAAAGGAATATATACATGCAGTGGTACAACTTTAGTTCGTATACCATTTAGTCAACGTTTACATTTATACAATAAGCATTGTAAACTTACCGTCTAGACCATGAACACAAATTATAAGATGTACATCACCACTGAATACAGGTGCTTCTGAAAAATATGGATATGGTGCAGCGAGTTTAACAAAATCACTATAAACATAACCTTGAAAATGTGGTGCAATTTGTCGTTTAACAAGTTCTTTAAAACGTAAAAATTCCATTACACCAGGTGATAATATATCAACAAGTGAGTGAGATTTTTTAATATCTAAATGGATACCATTTAATGTATTTCGATAATTATCATTTTGTTCTTTGGATGATAACGAAGATGTAAAAGTTAAAGAATTTGTTTTTTTAATTCGTTTTTGATTAGTAAGTGAATGTGTTGAAAGTTCGCAACTCTTAGAAGTCTACAGTAAGAAAAACGAAAAATTTAAAAAAGAATTATGTAGAAATGTCCAGGACAGTATTATAAATGTTAAATATTAGAGATAGTATATTAAAGACGCAGTTTTGACTTAATGGGATCACTGTGTAACTGGAATATCAGGTACAAACTTATAACCCCAGCACTAAAATACATGGTTTGTGTGACGATTTGTGATCCTGCACAGGTGCCTTGACGCAGTAGATCAGAGATAACCAACTTTGAAAAAATACATCTCAGCTTACTTCAAGGGTTCCCATTGTCAGAGATGAGACCCTAAAAGTATGGAGTTAACTTATTTGAAATTAGTCAGGAAACGGTCGTGTATAAACGGCCTTCGCAATGCGTTCACGATTCCATGTTTTCTAAACAACTTTTAACTTAGATTCATTTTAGCTAAGTGTGAACTGTTAAAATGACTTAATTTACTTTCCAAATTTTGTATGTAAATATAATGATGTATTAGAGTCAGACCCCATTTAGATTTGATTAAAAATAATATAGATTGAATACTCAGTAAATCTAATTGCGTAATTTTTTATATATTGTATAGGGGGTAGGATTGTCATTCAATAACTAATCATAGATAAAGATAGATAGGAAATTCAGAACCTAAGAGGCGTGTATGATTAAATTTCACCGTATTAAAATAAATGAATTTGTTTTATAAACTATGGGGAAAGAAATCGATTAATGATGTTCTGACTACATTATTTCATTATCCATACTAAAAGATATATGTTCAAACTGTGGCGTTTTAAATAAAATTCACTTTGTTTACTATTTTATTCAGAAATAAACGTGATAAACATTAAGAAATAAAAATGAACTTCTTGTTATTTATTACACATGATTCATCAGTCAACTACTTCAAACGATTGAAATGTTACACAAATATAAAATATGTATCATATGATTTGATCGGTAGTAAGCACTACAGAACGACATGATAATAGCTACTAATAATAAACGATTAATTAGAGAGCGAAAATCTAACCTCAGTAATAGTGATAAGGGTTCGAGTCCCGCTGAGGGAAGCATGGATTACTTCACAGCATTGAGGATATGCTTTGTTGACAAACGAGGTCTAACACTGAAACACAGATCCAGAGAGCTTCCATTTGATTGCCTTTAACTATTTAACATTGCAAAGTTGAAATATATCGTAGCAATTATATATATTCAGTGCAAACAATATCTTAGATTGTGAAGCATGTTGACAAAGATTCAAGCCCCACTTCGGGCTTGGAAGTATGTCTTGCCGATGAATTTGCAAAGTAGAACGTGACCTAGGTTTATAATTTTCGGCAAATTAGCTCCAACCATCAAACAAAAATTTTACATTATGAAAATGATAATAGAATGTACATCAATGTACAGACGTGAGCACACTGATACAAAATGAAGGCAATAATTAAAACCAGATAGAGTAGTAATATTTTTTTGATTGAGATCATGAATGGATCGGTGTTAGATCACCATTTAAAACCTGGAAACACTGGGTTGGAATCCCGCGCACGAGATCGTGGATGCGCACTGCCGAGTACCATACTAGGATGAAGCGGCCGTCCAGTGCTTCCAGGTTTTCAATACTTGTCTAACATCGATCTATTCATGATATCAATCAAAAACTCGACAATCTCCACAGCCCTATACAGAGTAGTAATAGTTAATCTAAAAAAGTTATTAGGTGAATTAATAATTAACTAATATATATAGAGTAAAACAAAGAAAAAAAACACAAGAAAACAGATGATTGATTTGCAATGATCTAATTAGTTATTTTACGAAATGAAAACAAATGACTATTTGCAAAATACTTACAGCATAGTTAGTGGTTGTAGCTTTTTTCGGAAGTATGTCACCACAACTGTCCAAATCGATGGTGTTCAACATTTCTAGAACACTAAGTTTCGGTGAATTTTTATTTGATAATTCTTCATCACTACTTAATAAATTGGAAACCTGATAACCGCATTCTTTCAATCGGTTATCATGTTCCGATGATAATAATTCTGTAGGTAATAATGGTAAACATTTATTACAATGTAATGATGAATGCGAAGAATCGGAATTACTAGATAAACGTTGTTTATTATTACAGTTGTCAATAGTTGCTTCAGTTGTAGCAAAAGGGCCATTCAGATGATTTACTTTTCTTTCTTGATCATACTGACAAGATGTGGAAAAGTCACGTAATTCAGTAATAATTTGTTGATTTAATCTATTCGCTTGATTGCTTCCAATAGTTAGCGATTTCGGTCGTTGATATTTATCACTATTATTATAATTATTATTACTGTTATTATTATTGTGAGTAGTGATAGTGGACCGCTTCTTATCATTACTATCGGTATAAGTTACACTCACTAAATGATCTTTAGACGTTTTTAAACTATTTGCTTGTTGCCTATAGTGATTACGACAACCAGTAGTATTCCGTTGATTAGGCCAACAATGCGATAGAAAACTATAACCGTTCATACTCTGTTGTTGCATACCATCCACTAAATCAATATTAGAAAATGATGGTGTCAATGAAGATGGTATATCCAAAATGAATTCATCCTTAGTTGATAAAATGGTACTTGATTTAGTTAGACGTTTTTTTGATTCAAACGAAGAATAAGGAATAGATGCATTTGAAATCATTGTAAAAGAATCATTTATTGACAATGGGTGATAATTTATTGTTTTAAATTCATTTTCTAAAATACTAAGGTGTAAATCTGAACAACTGCTTAAATAGGCTAAACTAGAAACAAACAAACAATAAAAAATATCAATAAACTGAACAAAGGATATAAATTTATTGAAATAAAATAAAGCTTAATAATAATGCCAGTTTGAAGACTACTTATACATATTAAGAGTGTACGCCCTAAATTTATTTAATCTAAGACAAACAAATAGATAAAGGGACTTTAGAAAATGAACAAACATTTCTAAGCTTAAAGTTAATAACAATAATGATTGACATGAAAAGAAAGATGAACAAAATTATGCTTTGCCGAACATAAATGAGGAATTATACAGACAGAGTATATGTGTGTGGTAAATAAACATTAAGAGAAACTGAAATGATATTGTTTGTAGTAAAGTATGAAACTTATCTATTTTTTGTGTTGTTTTGTCAACAACGCCATATATATATATATATATATATATATATATATATATATATATATATATATATATATATATGCGACACATTTTTATTGACAAAATCTAATAAATAATAACTTGGTTGTTTAGATGAGTTCAATGATCTTATTGAATAAATGTGCAGTGTGATTAGATTATATTTATATATTCATATGCCTTTTATCATAAGCTTTAATTTGACCTATTGACTACTATTATACAATATACTATTCTTAACTTATTTCCAAATCTATTAGTTACAGTCTCTCATACTTACAGACATTTTTAGTTTGATCTTGTATAGTTGTTATTTTTTTAATTTATGGTGTGATACTGTCTGGTTTGCTTGTATATAAACTATGTATGTCTGAAATATATTAATCATACAGTGGAGGCTAAGATTGTGTTCTAGACTCAAACGGATAGGGCTAGGTGAGAAAAACCAATAAGGACTCAGAGTTGACTCTAGGCTACTAATGCTGGTTGGCGTGTCATTGGTTTCGCACAGGGACAAGGTCACAGAAGTTGGTATTCTGATCTGCAATTTTGTCAAGTGATATTTGATAGGGCATAGGATATAACAGAAGCTTTATTTGTAATAGTAGTTCACAATGTAAAATAATTTTTTTGTTTTTATGAAGACTTTTGAATCGGTTATATCGATGCTTTACAAAATCAGGATTAGGGAGGTTGTTGAGTTTTATTGAGATCATGATTCGACCTCAGTTATATAATTATTAAAAATCTAGAAGCAACTACTTCATCCTAGAAGTAAGAATTCATTACTTCGTAATTGACACTTGAACCCAGAACCTTCGGGAAAACCCATAACTTTTAGACCGCTGGGCTGAAGTAAAATAATGAAATCATTTCACGATACTAAGCAACTACCTTCGGTTGTCTCCAGTGGGTAACTTCCTCATACTCGACACGGTTGAGCTACTTTAGTCACGGCTTTTCAATAGAATTTCCCTTAAAGATAGTCATTAGTGAGCCGATGAAAATTGTTTAAATGAAGTTTTCGAGATTCCTGAATTTTATCGAGATCACTTGTACACTATTGGCATACAGTATGGTGGTTTGGGGGTTATTCGTTTGCCCTCAAGGCCGAATGTTTTGGGTACGATTCCCGATCAGGTGGTCACGGAAGCGGACTGCTAAGGAGTTTCATACTAGGAAGAAACGGCTAGTCAGTGCACTGTTTTAGGTAAAAAAGTAGCATTATTAGCCCTCACACTTAAATTTTTGCTTATACTCAAGCATCTCGTGAATGAGTTAACTTGAAGAAAAAAAACTTGTTCAGATGTATAGAATAGACGTAATATTTTTTGATAAGATCATAATGCTGTTTGTTTAAGATAAAAACATTTACGTAATAAGTTATGCAGTTTAACCAAGTTACTTCAACACTAACATGTCAAACAACTAAAATCAAATATCAAAGATTTCATGAACATTAAGCATGAAATTTAAGATACACCTGATATCTGCAAAGTTGGCATCAATACGTACTTACTAGTCTTTTATACATATCTTATGTAAAGCCACTGGTTGTTAATCAAATTATTGAATGAAAACTAAAACTAGTGGGTTATCCGACTCGCCCTTGTTCATTTTCGAGTCGCCAATTGATAATATGCATCTGTCAAAGTAACATTTGAAGTAGTCAACATCTCAAGAATGCACAGTTTATTAGTGTTTCACTTCCATAGCATTTAGTCAGTCACACGCGAGGGAGGACCTGTTTTAAGTTTAGATATCACAGAGTATTAGTAGAAGTAGTATAAAATAAATACTGATCACAGACACTGTTTCGCGAAGAAAACATGAATTCATGGGATAAAATAATGAAAGACAGTTTTGGAACTCAGGACCTAGAGGAAGACAATGAGTGGATGTATCTGCGTCATTGTGATCGAGGGCGTCTACGATTACATACTGTTAGGCTGAGAATATCCTCGATCTTTGAAAGCCATGTTTTATAGTCATACAGTAAGACACAAAAAACTGTTACGTAGTATACTCTTCCTTTAGTTGGTAGACAGCTTACAATAAATGAGACGCATGGTGAGAAAAGCTTACTTAGATTTTGGCATCTCAGCCCAGATTTCGTCCGATGCTAACCCATCAGGGTTAATGAGACTGTCATATATAATTTCAGGAGAATCTATTTTTAATAAGCTAAAGTACCAGCATATTCTTCACCGGTATAACACCGAACGATTGTAGCATCTGACTACAGTATAAATAGCAACCAGCCTCAGCAAACATACAATATTGAATTTCGACTTAATGGTACTATAGTTGTTGTAAAATTCAAAGATTTCCAGTTCTCTTCTACTTCAATATCAAACAGATAGTTCTAAATTAGCAGAAAAATCAGTCCAATGGGCTCTTCATTGTAACTCCTATGATTTTAATCAATGAATTGAGTGGATTCTTTTAAAAGATAATCCATACTGGGATAATATGCCCAAAGTTGATAAGAATATTTTGTATTAAGCTGGTGGATTATTTTACATTTTGTTTTGTTTTTTACAAGTTAAGTTACATCATATTCTTAGATGAATTTATAGAGCACTGACAAATTACAAAAACTGATTTAATTGAAAACTCACTTTTCTAGTCGTTAATATTAAGTCTTTAACTAGTGTAAACACATTCAATAATGATAGAAATTCTAAACATTAACATCCTATTATAAACTGAATAAATTAATTAAAGAAAATAAATAAGAAAATGGAATGAACTTACTCTGCAGTATAAGTTTTTAATTGATTACAGTGCAATTTTCTAGGATATAGAAAACAACAGAGGTAAAGTATGACTAAGGATATTAACATGTAAACAAACTATCATAGTGCACTGTAAGGAATAAAAAAAACCCAGAAAACTTTATTTCTGACATGAATGGTATTTTTGTGGGTAGTATTAGTTACAGAATGATTCCAGTTATGTTGCCACTAGGAACAAGATGACATTAGACATGTCTTATTCTAGCATGGAACTCTTCAACAGTGTGCCCATGACTCAAACAAGAATGGAACACCAGATCTTCAGGACTCGTAGCGAATGATTAACAATTAGAATCAGTCGGTTCGATGGTATGATTTCAAATTCATTCAGTCTTGCGGTATAATCCAACGATAATCTAATCCAACTGTTTCCCCCAAGACATGTTCGAACTTCGTCAGTCATGACTTCTCGATAAAACTACATGGGTTTGTTGAGGTAGATTGACTATCATGAATAAACTGAAAATGATTTTTAGAGATATTGGCTTAATTAACAGGTTTTTACGATTTAATTATTCTCAGAGTGTATTACATTGAGTAACATTTAATTTTTAATTCTAGTTTGACGTTAAACAGCACTTTTAATACTTATATTTTGGGGCAATTGGTCAGTGGATGTACAGAGCACACAATCTTCAACTAATTGGTTGCGGAATGCGACCACATTATTCCACTTCAGGTGGTTAAAGGTAGTCAACAGGATGCTTTGGGATAACCTTAAATAACTCAATGTCCAAAAGTGCCATGTACCGAGACACTTATAGGTAAGAACATCTTGATAAAAAACAAAGGAATGAATCTGTGAGGGGGGAGACAGTAAAGATTATTAATTTGTTTTGGAGATTTAAAGATAATATCCCAGTAACCGTGAATAGATAAAGTCAAGAAATTTAATAGTAAAGGAATTATCATATCGAAAATGTATACATTAACACTGGAGTGCAGATGCATCCAGCTGACAAGTTCCACACATAAGATGAAATCCATGTCACACATTCCTTGGGCTAGCTACAATTCTTCCATTTCGAAAAAAAATTGCGACAAAATGGTTACTTTTTATTTATTTGAACACAAATATTGGTACAGAGGGGCATGGAATACATATGCGCCACACCAGTCACTTGATTTGTGTGTGGGCTGTGATACTGTCTGGGTGCCTAGACCGAAGCCATAAGGCCACACCTAGAGCCTTCGACCTACAGATCTGATCCAAAAGGCAGTGAAGCAACGTCATGAGATGCAGTCCAATAGTAGCCAGTGACCAACAATTAATCCATACTTCATTTGTTCTCTCAGAATCCTGGAGTCCATGTGCACCATTGATTTATAACCAGGTTTTTCCAACTCCCCTAGGTGGGTCCTCCGTGTCCACTAGCCCGGTTAAAGCACCGGACATGCGCTTTTACTCCTTTCAATCTCGTAAAGAAAAACCCTGCTGCGATAAGGCAGTGGCTGTATACGCGTGGCTATCTGAGAGCATTTGGAGAGGGAGAGCGGACTCTCCCTGTCCTCGGCCATGCCAGGGCATTCGGGGGCAAAATGGTTATATTGGGGGAATTCACATAAGATGAATCAATGCTAACAAAGACTGGTCAAAATGCAGTTATAAATATCAATAACGAGAAAAATGAAATTCTGAATAATAATAATAATAATAATAATAATAATAATAATAATAATAATAATAATAATAATATAAACAAGGTATTTGAATGTTTCAAAACAGAGTTGTTCGTGAATTTCTTTGAAATAAGGTGATTTTGAAGTAAAAATGTATGAATATGAAATCAACATACCTAGCAGCAAACATATGATTTCTTTTGAGATTTCGAACTTTTACCCGCCTTCGAGATTTACTCCAGGAAAAATGATCTACTGATGAAATATTTGTAAGACATCCTTCTGAAACTACTCTTGGAATCATACATGAAAGTGGAATATTCGGTAGGGAAATAGAACTGCTGCCAATATTAGTTTTGTAGAGATGATTACATGGCAATAGGGAATCTGTTTCTTTAGATATGTGTTCAGATGGTACACATCCACCGGGTGGTTTTATTGGAGGTATTTTTAAAGTACCTAATGCAATAACTTCATGAGATTTATTATGATTGGACAACTTTGAATTGATGTAATTTGGTGACGTTAATGAATTTGAATTCAAAATTTTGCTGTCTTTATTTTTTGGTGAACATTGAAACAATAGTGTATCGTTCAGTTCACTTGAAATATTCAACATAGATAAAGATGTGGATTTTGATGAATTATTATTTATATTGATCGTTTCTAAATTAGTACATTTTACTTGAGGTGATTTCAGTGATAAATTGTAAAGGGAACGAGAACGCATGCTAAAAATTAAAATAAATAATATTAGTGTCATGAGTTTGCTGAGATTGTTGGGTTATATAGTTTACTAATTGACCTGACTTAGATAACCAGTAAAAACTTAGTAGCTATTTATTTATAGTATGAGACACTCCAAAAATGCTCATATATGACTCCATGAGAGGGATCCGACCAAGGAATTTCCGGTCTCACAATAATGAGAAGTAACAACCAGTAGTTTCTAACTATGCCGAGTGCGAGGTAATTTACCCGAAAATTTTGTTCGAAGCTGGTTGCGGGATATCGTGAATTGAAGCTAGAAATGCAAACCATTGGATGCTTACTGAGTAGTCTAAAGGTTAATTACATAGTGGAACTGAACAGCAGTTCAGTACTATCTGATTTTCAGTGGTTGTTTATCGAAAGTCAGTTGTTCGAGAATGTAAACTATGAAAATAAATAACACGTTTGATGTTGAAGAAAGAATGAAAATCAATAAAATGTGTTTGTGGCATGGTATACAATTTGGGGATTGATAATCTCTCAGCAATATAAATCCCGCAATGCATAAGCTTCTTTAATACGAGAAATATTCAATATGTGTATTAGGATCAAAATATGACGACAAAATGTACTTGTTTGAGAATAGAAGTTTAGGAGATAAATTACAACTCTACTTGGCGTGGTTATTGATGTCATATTTATTTAATTCTTTTGTGGCGACCGAAGTGTATTGTGACTGTTAATTTAAGTGATTAAACATGACGTGGGTTGCATTGATGATACCCTAGATGATTGGAGGTTGTCGAGAGGAAACATTAGGCTTAGGTCTTGGCAACAAGGAGTATGTACAATTTTTCGGAAGTCAATAACTTTAGTCTGAGTGATTCGTTAAATAACCTACAATTGATGGGATATCCGAATTGATATGATATTTTCATTGAATTAAGCAGACAAATCGCGACGTTAAAAATGAAAGTAGACAGAATGATTGATTAACTGACTGACTATGTCTTAATAGTTTTATTTTCTCGAATGGACATCAGTCAACAATTAAAGCAAAGAAGATCTAGAAGTTTTCTATGAACTTAATAGGAACACTGGAAATAATTATCATCTTTAGTATAGAAAATCATTGAAACAAATGTCAAATTTTACATTTTAATTTGATGGAATATTTCGTAAATAAAAGATTATGGAGTAAAAAAACAAACAAAACATTATTTTACTTACTCTCGAATAGCCAGACCACCGATAGGACGTAGGCCAGTAGAAGAATATGAACAATGATTTATATCGGAATAAATATTGAAAGAGGATTCAGTCAATCTATGTCGATTATCAGATAAGCCAGAATATTGATTCCTTATATCGTCGTTCTCTGCTGGTTGAATAGAACGGTAACCAACTAATTTAACTTTTGAGTCATTACTATTTAAATGTGATAGAACATTAGATTCACGTGACTTGTCAAAATAATGAAATTTCCGACTATGGTTACTAGGTAAGTGAAATTTGCGTTTAGATTGTTGGGTTGTCATATTGTTAACTGTAGTAAGAAATGGTTTAAAAATTGGTCTAGTTTTTACATGAATTTGTTGTAATGATGGTGATGATGATAAGAGATTAGGACTTGAATGAGAAAAATTTTGAAGTTGATAGTTTGAAAGAGGATTGGGTACACTTGATGGATATATATAGTTTGATATAGGTGTAGATTCTTTTTTATTAACTGTAAATAAGAAGTTTAAAGTGATTTATTTTGTCAGTACAGATTAAGTGTCACTATAGAAATGAATTAGTTCTGATACATAATACTGACATAGAAAAGGTAATTTAATTTACTATGAGGAGGCATGAAAAATTTGCGATGCTTATAAAATGATCGACGTTTTTAAGCATATGATCAGCTGGCCTACTAATGAGATTGGATTTTCACGTGGCTAACAGACATTTTTCATTCTAACAGACAATTTAATTCCTTCTTTTTATTATGTACTCATCTATATGGCCTGTTTACGAACTCTTATCTATATATTATTTTTTATATAAGTGATTGCCAGTATGTTTGTATGACCACCGAATTGTATCAATCTTGTTGATTGCATTCGTTTCTATAACCTATGTAATTTATATCTATTTAATTCAGTTTAATTTTATTCGGTTCAATTTATATCCGATTAGATCAGATTATTGTTAATTCCATTTAAATGGCAGTATAGTTTAATCACTAGTTATTAGTGTTCTGATTACAATTGGAAAAAATTGTTGGTTAATTCGAATACAATACATATTCATTTCTAATTCAGGCTTATTCTAATCGCAGTCATAAAACCATTGTTTGGACGTCTATTTGATTTGTAGAATACACATTTAATACTGTCCCAACTCACATTTCTCTCCTACTAATCATACGCTCGCGATTACCGTTGAAATACATATTTACTATATAGTTTAAAATTATTATAGCGGTGGGGGTGCTGTTTATGAAAATGAAAGGATGAAAAACGAATGTTCGGCGCTTCAACTGGGTAAGCAGATATGGAGGATCCACCGAAAACCCTAATTACAAACCAATGGTGCACATGGACTCCAGGATCCTAAGGAGACAAGTGATGTATGAACCTATTGTTGGTCACCGACTACTATGGGACTGCTTCATTGCCTTGTGGATTAGAACTGTAGGTCAAAGGATTGGGGTGTGTTCCTTTAAGAAAACCACCCGCATCGGTTCAAGCGCTCGGACAGTATCTCAGCCCTCACACGGATGGAATGATTTGTGTGGTGAACATATATTTGGTGCCTCCTTGTACCAATGTTTATGTATTTGAACAGATAACAAGTAATAACTATCATGAATTTTAAAAAAGTATCATGAGAAAGCACAAAAGTCAATTTATTCGAAAATTATTTGATCTAACGCGATACGGTACATTTAAAAAAGACCAATAGCATTCATTTACGTTAAGTTACGATGATTACATTTATTTGAGTTGACGAATTAACACTGATTGTTTGGTAAGCGTTTGATTTCTGTAAAGTTAAAGCGATAGTCAACTTTGGCTAACAGTAATTTAATCTAGTTATAATGGATGACAATGAAAGGACGAGATCAATGTGCAAAGGTTCACTCTATCCGACTTTATGTCTGTAAAACATGAGCTTTAAAGGGCGGTGAGTAGAACGTCTCTGTCAGTGGCTATGTACGCGTGGTCATATGAAAGCATTTTGAGAGCGAGAGATGACTCTCTTAACTCTTGGTCGTACCAGAGAATTTGGGTAGGATGAATCTAATTTTGGATAACTCTGCTGAATGCTGTTTCATACACTTGTAGATTTTAAGTTATATACAAAATGTATCAACCAACAAAGCTATTGTTTTATTCTTTTACCCCTTTGTTTTCATTGACACCCCAGTTTCACACATTTTTTGCATAACTGGACGAAATACCTGATGTAAAAGTGGGATCAACAGAATAAAGAAATTTACAATAAAAACAAAATGGTTACTCAGGTAAATCAATTGAAAGCTTAGTCTTAAACTTGTAATGTCCTCAAACACATCCAGCAAAAAAAACACACCTACATATAAATTTTAAAAAGTATAGACCACTATTTAGTACTGAAGAATACTTGGTATAGAAGAGGTAGAGTCTAAGTGTAGTCTCTGTAAAATAAAATGGAAATGATAGTAGTGCATAAAACTTTATTGTATCTCCTTAAACTGTTTAGCAAACAAATTATGCATTACATGTGTGGGTTAGGGATACTACATGTCTAACAAGAGGCAGTTAAAATGCAGCTTAATTGTGTTAGTTAATGATAGAAACTCAAGTGATAAAACCATTATATCAACATTACAATAATTTATAAAATAATTTTAAAGTAACAGGAGGTTTATTGTTTTTTCTTATAATGAAACAGAAAACAACCTTTTCATTAAATCCTAATAGTCTAAATGATTACAACAAATGAAGTGAAAAAAATTTGGCGAACTATACTATGGGAATTAAATGAAATTGTAAATATGAGTTACCAGATACTCACTTATTGCTTAAAAAGTGGATGTGATTTTCGCGAGGAACGCAAGTCTTTGTTTTATTCTCTGGAGGAATAGTGTGTGTGTACTGATATTAACTCTACTTCTACGATGTAGCACCACAAATACGCACGAACTTTTCTAATATCTCTTTAGCTAGTTTTGTACAATAACGAAACAACCATTTAATATTCCTTAATTTCCAATTATTATCTAGTTAAATTCAGTGCCTATGACGGAAGCTAATTTGAAACTACAATGTAACTAAGTGATGGTTAGGGTGTTCGACTTCTGGCCACTAAGTCATAGCCTCGAACCCAACTTTATTCACTTCAGCTTGGAGAAACATGTATCATCATTAGCTGTAACAATAAGGAGTTCAGCTGAGGAGACCAGTTCGTTCAACAATTATATTAAACAGTCGGATATGTAGATAACAAATCAAATATACAAAACGGTCCGAAAAAAAATATAATTAACACTTCCCCTTTACAACAACAAGTCTACAAAAACCAATAAAACCTAAACTAAAGGAAGGCGTTGCCAAAAAATAGGACGGAAAAGGGTATTTTTGCATTCACAACGTCATAAGTAATATCAGTACTATGGGAAATCAAAGATTATGTAAATCATTTGTTTGTTGTATATGTATATTAAGATGCTATTTATCACTGTAGTAAACAAAATATGTTAGGATACCATTGGAGCTACCATGACAACAGCACGTAAACATAACATAAGCAACGCTTGTTAAAACGAAAAAAAACTCCAAAACCCTTAGGAACCATGTTCAAGTTATAGTCATTGAAACGTTTTTAAAGAACAAGTACATAACCCAAAAAATGGTTATTTGGCTGGTGCTTATGTTGAACCATGAGTTAAATCAGTCATGTCAAACAGTTTCCATATTTTTCTTTTTTACCTAGTATCGTTATACATTCTTCAAAAGTTAATATTTGTTTGATTCAACTTCTTTTACTTTAACATCCACAGATTGATTTACGGTGAGACATATTTAAATAGCTGAAGAAACACAGCCCTTTGAACACCTTAAGCAACAAGAGAAATTCTCAGGATGAGTTATTTATTTCTCCAAGGCTGGCCTCGGCCGATGTGCAATTTGACGGTGAGGAGTAACATAGTTGCTCAGGCTGACTAACTAACTTATCCATAGAGTTCTATTCTTAACATTTGATTATAAGTAAAGAGGTCAGTTAGCCCTAGTTTAGAAGAGATGTCTTTCTGTTTACAAAAGTATGCACATTAGTTGATTGACATAACAATACTCGTTTGGATTCAGTTGGAAGTTACATAATTTATGTAAGCGCTAGATGATACCACTCGACCGTCCGGACTAAATTAGATAGACAGGGGTTTGAACGTGGAGATTAAACGAAGATGACGTTTAGTGTTTTAACCATTCAGTCATTATTAAACTTGAAAATGGTGAAAAATACATAGTGAAGGTAGAAAAGAAGACACAAAATGAAGAAAAATATTAAATTCATTTACCTGGTATTGTGTCACATCTAGATAAATCAGTTGACTTATTTCTAGTTGCAGTCTTTGATAATACTCCTACTCCCACTACATCTTCTTCCATATAAATACCGGACTCATTATCATCTGAACGAGTTTTTATTGGTGTAAATGCATCATCATCAATGGTAGATGGGGATTTATGAGTTGACAATAACTCCATTGAAGTATATTTTGTTTTTGGTGGATTGGTTGTATATATTGCATTATTATTACTACCATTAATTGGTTGAGATAAATTCAGTGATTTTGTCTTATTATTATTATTGTTATTATTATTATGTGGTAAAAAGATATCTTCGAAGATAATCGGTAGATTAGTAACATCACCGTCTAACTCACGACAGGTAACTGGTAAAGTTGGAAGTTTTTGGAAATAAACTGATTGGCGAACATCATTAGCAAGTGATTCATGTCCTACAACACTGAAATATGAAAATTTCTTAGAAAAATCTTTAAGCATCAAAATAACTTGAAGTTTTTATAAAAATAATGTAAAATCAAACAACATAATAGAAAATTTCCAAGTGATGTTTAAACTCAATCAGGCATAAACAGTGTAGAACATAGCACATATATGGGCAACGATTCAACTTGTCACACTTCATCACGATACCGAAATTAAATTATCAAGACAAATACTAAGGAATTCAAAGTAGTAACAGTATCAATATTAATTGAACAATCAAATGTGAGGAAAAAGAATGAAATCATGGAATGAAAAAAAGTATAAGAAAATTCTAAAACTTTAATTTTCAAGAAAAGAACAAAGAGAGTGGATAGATCTGTGTTGTACCAACCAAATCAGAGCTTAGTCACTACTTAACATATTTAAATGAACAAACAAATGTCTTATATTTGTGCGAAACAGCTATCTAGTGCTCCCTGGTTTTCAGATATTGTTTAGCTAAAGTCAGTCCGAGTTGTATAATATTTCACTTAGTTGTAAGCAGTTTCTAACATAAATTGATAATAACGAGAATTACTGTCGAAAATCAAAGGAACTGTAAGTCATTGATTTTGGACTTCATTGCTATAGAACACACTATGCTAGGTATGAAAGATGGCTAAAGATCTTAGGCTCAATTCAATATGAAATGATGTACCATACCTTACAATCTTTGATTTTGAACATAAGGGTGGTATTCCGTCAGAAAACTAAGTAAATTCCAATAGGTAGCTGCCCTGTCTACAAATAATAGTTCAATAAAAATATGTTCCCTCTATCGAGTGTACACGAAAATCGCAACCAAATATTTAAACACATAAACATTGGTACAAGGAGGCACCAAATATATGTTCACCACACAAATCATTCCATCCGTGTGAGGGCTGAGATACTGTCCGAGCGCTTGAACCGATGCGGGTGGTTTTCTTAAAGGAACACACCCCAATCCTTTGACCTACAGTTCTAATCCACAAGGCAATGAAGCAGTCCCATAGTAGTCGGTGACCAACAATAGGTTCATACATCACTTGTCTCCTTAGGATCCTGAAGTCCATGTGCACCATTGGTTTATAATTAGGGTTTTCCAACTCTCCTCGGTGGATCCTCCATATCTACTAACCCAGTTGAAGCGCCGGACATTCGCTTTTCGTCTTTTAATTTTCGTATGAGACTTATCATTAGTGTGTGTTAGCATGTCGTTGTGACCATTAGTTCAGCTTGTTCGTTTAACATAAGATTATTTGAAATGTATTAAGCTAATACACTAGCAATACTTTACATTTCAGTTCAATTATATAATGGTTGCAAAGTGGTCAGTAATGCAAATGATATGAAGGACAAGAAGTAAGTCTAGTATTAGAGTTTAAATCTCATTGGTTAGTAGACAGTGGTCTGAAAAACTATGTTACAATTACTTTTAAGAGTACACCATATTTCTGAAGGGGGAATGGCTTTTTTTTAATGGTTGGTTGTTTCGTAGTTTGATATCTCATTTGTTTAGAAGTTTTAAGTCAGTAATTCGATGTTTTCGAGTGGCGGTTACTCAGTCATATTACATATACATTACAGGTGACTGATTGCATACTGACAAGTAAAGTGTTTTCTATTCTGACATTTGGTTCATATCAATATTAGTTAAATAAATTTAAGTCATGTGAATAAATCATAATTTCAGTTGAACGTGTTCTAAATGCACTTTAACGAGTGAAATACAATCACAACGTTGTTATTATAAAGTACTGAAGTCGTCTAGCTTGCACTAATGGAGATGTCACAATTTGAAGTGAAATGTACATGTACGAGATGAATTGCTCAGTTAGGTGGAGTTTGCTTAAAACAAGACTGTATAACAATGAATTATTTTGTAGATACATATTAACCTATTCATCTTTGAAATACACGGTTTAAATGGAAGTTCACGGTACTAGTATATCGTCCATACCTAAATAACAACGTAAGGGTAATATTTTGTGACTTAACGACTGCAAGCAGACTGTTTGTAACGATTGATTTACAGCTCCATTAAAACTATACAAATTGTGAAATAAAGTAAGGTCTACTACATAAATGATGTAAAATTAGCTTTATAAAGACAAATATTATTTGTTACCTTGAGTCATAAATAGCTAGTAAATTGACAAGTGATAACTCTTGACAGAAAAATGCCTCAGCCAATCGTTTCATCTAAATTATTTTTCAAAAGTGAAAAAAAGAAAGATACGTAATACAAGGCATGAAATCTCATGACAACATTGAAATTCCTATTGGCGATCTACAGTTAAAATAAATCGTATTCTTAAGAAGTACCTGATAATAAACTGGTATTGTTTTTTGGTCTTAACCAATCAGTAATGTTAGTCAATTAAAATAAACTAAACAAGCAGTTGACTACATTGTAATTTTTAATTTGCGAAAGCTAATACGAATGAAAAGCAGGCTAAAGTTTCCTTCAAGATTAAGGGTTTAATTTTAGTATTTGGGAAGAAGGTCGATTTGACTACTATGTACAACTTAAAAAGTGAGAATTAAGGATTTCATACGTTCGAAACTATCAATTTTGACGTTTTAAAATATACACTACACTGTTTCTAACTCATTGTTATCGTCGATCACATCAAATAGAACGAAGTGCATTATCCAGTAAGTGCTAGACAGCCAAGAGCACAACAAATTCAGCGATAAAAATTAACGTGACTTACACGAATTTGATGAAACCTTCGACGTAAAAAAGCAGCCAACTTGGATTGTAAGGTGACAGATTTACATAGTTGTTTAAATAGAACAGTATTTTGAGACGAGAGACGAGCAATATCAAATGAAATTTGATTCGCTAAATCATCATCTGTTTCTAGGCTCTGTAAAAACAGAAGAATAAGAACTTGACTTCAAGAGAAAATTTGTGAAAGTGGAGTGAGAGCTATCAATGAATTGAGACTTTTAGTTGAAGCTATTATATGTGTGGTAGAATTTATTAGTATACAACACCGACAGTAAAACGGAACTTAAAATAATTTTGTTCACTAAATCGTCACTTAAGTTGTACGGTTACAAACTGAAATACAACATAACTGGTAATATTTTGAAGATATTCACCACGACGAACTGATATCTGTTAGTGAACTAATGAAAACAAGGGTCACTCAGAAGCCATTCACATTGATTCGAAATAAGGACACGAATTTGGGAGTCGGCTGGTCATCATCATTAGGGCACAGATTCAGGAGTCCACTGTTGAAATTTTTACCTTTAGTCAAATTGTTGTACGAAGTAACTCTCAACCAATGGTGATTTAATATCCTGCTGTTACGTATTGGGAATCAGTCGACAGGAAAACCTGGAATCAGCTTTCAAGACAGCTGGCAGTCAGTCAGTCAGTCAGTAACAACGTAGAACTTCGTAAGTACGTACGTATTATTGAAGCTAATATTTTAGCCTGATTTTCTCTAGTCTGCTCTTCGCGAGGTTTAGTTAGGCGTCCAAGTATTATTGAAGCTAATACTTTAGACACTGTGTTAGTCAAACTGATTCCTCTGTGATTGTCACAAGAGGACTTTTCTCCTTTCTTATAGACTGGCACAATCAGTGATTGAGACCAGTCAGATGGGATTTCGTTCGGTTCGCAAATTCTACCTAAGACCTCAGTCAATCTCACTGCTAATACTGAACCACCATCCTTAAAAATCTCAGGAGTAAACCTGTCAGGGCCTGCTGCTCTTCCTCGCTTCAGATTTCCTATAGATCTTTCAATTTCGTAAAGAGTTGGAGGACTTATATTAACTTGCCATTCAGGTAGACTGGTGATTGTGGGAAACCGAAGTGTGGCTGAAGGCCAGTTGAACTGATCCCTAAAGTGTTCTGCTCATCGATCCAATCTCCTGGATTAGGGGTGAATAATATGTCCATCTTTTTCCGAGTTAGTCTCGCCAACAGTTGTATTCCTAATACCGGTTTCCTTGGCAAGTCTGAACAGTTGTTAGAGAGACTAGAAATTGTGGATGAACGAATCAGATTTCGGATAACAGGTCTTGGATTAAGACGCGAAATTCATTTATTTGACTAAATAGCTTTTTGACATTTTAGCTAATGTAGGTTCGTGATGAAAAATATAAATCTAATTTATAACCCTAACTATCAACTGTACATTATAATCCTTATTCTTCAAACTGGTTTATAACACTCATTTAGCCGTAGTAACTAGGTGGACATCCTTAAGGTCACCTTAATGTATCTCTAAGGTCGTCCGAAAATTATAGTCTCACCCAGTTGTCTACTGTTACCTACTGCCACTGTCTTTTCCATCTCTCTTGGTTTTGCTACCCACCACTGTTCATGAGCATAGGCGGTTATCTGAGCATAGCTGTAACAGAGCCACGACTCCCGAAGGTTCCATCGAGGTGTTTTTCCCCTTCTCCTAGTTTACCTACTTGAGCATTAAAGTCACCAGCCGCTATCACTACATCAGAACGCCTAGATTTTCGGAGGTCAGAAAGCTTTCTGTAAAACTCATCTTTTACATCATCTGAGCTGCAGTCAGTGGAAGAGTAGGCAGAGACGACGGAAAGGCACCGACGAGTGTCGCTATCTTTCCGAGTCCTCACTGTTCAGTTTAGTCGGTCAGCGCACAAGCGACTGTCTACTGGGATGCAGTCTAAGTGAGCTAGTTCTGCACTAGAACTCAACGCCATACCCACACCAGCGAGGCCACGGGAAGCAGAATCAGGGCTTCCAGATATACGAAGCGTGAATCGAGATGGTACTTCGTTTTAAAATGGTGAGGTCAAATGAGTGACACTACTCGGATCCTGTATGCGCGTTTCGGAGACGCAGCACACATGGATGGCGCGAGATTCTTGAGTCATAACTAAGGAAGCCTGTTGTCCTATTTGTCACAGGCACAACGAACAGGTAATGGTGATCGTCTGTTGCAACTGTGCTCAGACAATCGTTTATTTTTAGCAAACACAAATTTTAAGCATAAGGAGAGACATCGTCTAACATGGCGACCCCATACACCAAACCAACGATGGACTCAAATAGACTATAATGCCATCAGTCATCGTTGGAGACGGTCGGTAGGAGATTATCGCTCATTCTGGAGTACCTGCTTCGACTCTGACCACGCCCTAATACGGGCACACATCTGCTTGCGCCTCACCGGACGCAAAAAAGCCACAATGAAAAGACCCATTAGAACTGAATTGAGTAGCGAGAAAACCAAAAGTAGGTTCCAGGAACAACTGAGGTCACAATTAGGTAGTTCTGAAAACGAGGTTGACCCAGATGTTGCTTGGACAGCTATACAATCAGCTGTGGAAACAGCAGTGACATCTATTAGTGACTCAAACCACAGGGTTACAAAGAACCAATGGATTTCCTCAAGGTCTATCAAGCTCTGAACACGATGAAGAGCGTAAACAAATCAGATCTAGGTTAACCAAAAGTCTAAGGAACGACCGTGAGCAGTGGTGGGAAACGAAAGCAAAAGAGATGGAAAAGGCGGCGACTATAGGGAACACAAGACAGCTCTACAGACTAATAAAAGAAACTGGAATTAATAAGTCAAGTGTAAGTGAGATTATATCGGAAAAAAACGACACACTCATCTGCTCTCAGTTCAGACGTCCAGAACGATGGGTGGAACATTTCAGAGAACAGTTCAGCTGGCCTTCAGCTACTCTACAACTACCCTCAATTCCCAGACAGTGTGAATGGAACATTGAAGTAGGTCCCCCAACTCTAGCAGAAGTTCAAAAGGCTATAGATAATCTGAAACGAGGAAGGGCAGCTGGTCCAGATGGATTGGCTCTAGAAGTCTTCAAGGATGGTGGTCCAATTTTAGCGATTAGGTTGACTAATATTTTAGCTAAGATCTGGGAGTCAGACGTTATTCCATCTGACTGTTCACAATCACTTATCGTCCCAATATATAAGAAAGGGTCAAAATCATCCTGTGACAACCATAGAGAGATTAGTGTAACAAATATAGTATCTAAAATACTAGCCTCGATAATTATCAGACGCCTAACTAAGACTCGTGAACTGCAAATACGAGAGAACCAAGCTGGCTTCAGACCTGGTCGTGGCTGCATCGACCACATATTTACCATTCGTCAGGTTCTAGAACACAGGCATACTTATCGGCGTCCGACAATGGTGGTCTTTCTTGACTTGAAAGCAGCATTTGACTCGGTAGACCGCAAGATTCTGTGGCAGTGTCTGTCATTGAAAGGCGTACCTCAGAAGTACATAAACCTTGTGAAGGCTCTCTACTCGAACACTACCAATCGAGTCAGGGCTTATGGCGAACTGTCATCTGATTATGAAACCTCAAGTGGTGTCCGTCAAGGCTGTCCACTTTCCCCATTTCTGTTTAACTTCATCATAGACCTACTGATGGAAATAACGCTCTCGTCGATTGAATTTTCAGGCACTGATCTCCTACCGGGAGGTCCACTTATCGACGCAGAATACGCAGATGACATAGTCCTGTTTGGTGAAGACGCTGATAAAATGCAGAGTCTTTTGATAGCACTGAGCAACAATGCCAGAATGTTTGGAATGCGCTTCTCTCCCTCTAAATACAAGTTGTTGCTTCATGACTGCTCTACGTCAACACCCGAACTAAGGATAGGGAGTGAAGTAGTTGAACACGTTGACAACTTCACTTATCTTGGAAGTCTGATCAGCCCTAATGGGTTGGTGTCTGATGAAATCTCTACACGGATTCGAAAAGCTCGTTTGGCTTTTGCCAACTTACGTCACGTATGGCGAAGGCGAGATATCCGTCTATCAATTAAAGGACGAGTATACTGCGCGGCAGTCCGTTCTGTTTTAATTTACGGCAGCGAAACATCGCCATTAAGAGTAGAAGACACTCGTAAGCTACTAGTATTCGACCACAAACGCCCTAGAAATATTGCTGGCGTCTGCTGGGATCACCGGGTAAGTAATAGCGAGGTTAGACGTAGGGTATTAGGGAAGGATGGTAAATCAGTTGATGAGGTTGTGAATCTTCATCGACTGATATGGTTGGGCCACGTGTTACGTATGCCTGAACACCGATTACCACGACGTGCAATGCTAACCGGCGTTCGAGATGGTTGGAAGAAAGTAAGTGGCGGCCAAACCAAAACATGGCATCAGTGCTTGAAGTCACTAACTTCTAGTCTGAGCCATGTTGGTAGATGCAGACTACTTGGTTGGGGTCCGCGTGACTATCGTAACCAATGGTTGGAGACTCTTGGTGACATGGATCAGAATCGATCACAATGGCGTAGGTGTATACACTCTCTGTCTTCTCTTAAACTAAGAGATTAAAATCGCTTCATATCTTTCTTTCTACGAACTAACTCCTTCTTGCTATACCATATCCTTAGTGCAATCTTTCTTTTATATATTACCACCTCTGAATTAACTACTTATATGAATCCGGTGTCCATCTTGTTGTGTTAATGAGGTATGGCAACTTGGACCGATGCATATATGTGCCTGGTCCTACGTTGTAGCTGACTGACTGACTGACTATTTGTCACAGTGTTTGAACGTTGAAAGCTCCTACAAGTAGTTTAGAGTATGGTTTCAGGAGACCAGGAATAAAGTTCTGCGTTCTCGAATCGTTTGCACTACAGGTGCGATGTCATGAAGGGACGTGAGAAGGGTTATAAGGTGTGGGGAGGATTTGAATGTGACCGACTTGGTCTCTTGTGATGTTACGGGTATGAGGGCTGATATCACTTTTCGGCTGCCCACACCATGGAAGGGTATTTCTTGAAGAACCTGTAAAAGAAGTCGGATTAGTGTTGGTCTTGACGATCTGGGAGCATGACCGCAGAGCCCGAGGGACAACTGCCTGATGCCCGTCGCGCACAGCCTTTTCGTAGGGGAGTTTTTAACCTGTTAGCTCCGTTCTTCGAAAGGCTTTACCACCGGAGACGGGAATTCGTGAGGTTAGGTGGGGTGTGACATTTTCGGGGTGGACCTTATCTAACCTTTTCCTTCCTTGTGAGAAGGCAGCGTCGCTGCAGTTTCTGGTTGTCCGAGGGAAACACCTTACTGCTGTCACACCCCTCTACAGTCAGCAGTACGACTTCGCCCTCAGATCTTGAGTTTCTGCTTTTAGTCTTACCTTTCTCCGATCGACCTGCCTGGCATGGTAGAACCTACAGGAACATATGTTCAAGCCAATATAGTTCGGTTGGGTCATCACGATAGGGAAGCCCGACCATCACGTTAAGGCAGCAGCTACGGTCGTCAGCTGGCAATCGCTGGGAAAACGTAACTGCAACTTTTAGTGAACTGATCGTAAAAATTCGTTGAGAACTAGCGAACTAGGCAAGTATAATATTGTTCATCATCTAGTGATAAATTTATTGTGTATATAGGTATAATTACTATGGTTTGACTCGATAATTTAAATAAATTCAGCATTGGGTAAATTGTTAGAAGTAAAAACAATATATTCTTAATATCTCAATGAGTAGAAAAATTAAATTTTCTGACGTTTCTTGACTCAGTGTAAATCACTTCTAACAATTCGGTTATTTATTCTCTGAAGAAGTGGTTTGCACTGAGTCACGAAACGTCTGAAAATTTAACTTTTTTACTGATTGGGATATTACAAATATATTATTTTTTATTTATAATCGTGTATATATTCAAACAACCTTTTCGAACTGGAGTGACAGCCAATATAATGTGTAAAATCGTGTTCTCTTAAAGCAGATGACAAGGACTTGCAACTCTTAATAACAGCTACTAAAACAGATAATTTAGAGACGGAATTTTATCTTAAATTGGTACCAAGGGACAAAGAGTTTTTCTTTGTCCTAGCTATCATTTAGATTTGTCGTTAACATATATTCTTGTACTTACATCCAAGACAAGATTAAAATACTCACATTACCACGACAGAAGTACTCCAACGTTAAACTTGAATATTAATATGTCCACAGTCACCTAATATAGACAGTCAACGGTTAATGTTTTTAAGGATTATTCAGTGACAACTAAATTAATGAAACTCACTTGAGCTATTTGTACAAGTGAATCCAATTTACTTTGAAAGTCAACAGGTTCTGTAATTTCAAAGAAAAATCAAGTTATTGACTAGACAAACACAACAAATAAAGATTTAAAATGTCAGCCCGTCAGTAAGTTATGAATAACGTAGTCTGACACAAGTGTGTGCTTGTCCATGCTGTCATGTTACGTTAAAACGACGATATGAATTTTTTAAAAACATGGAAAGGACTCAAAATTGTTTAACATCAATAACGCCGGAAACAACTAAAAATTGAAATTCGGTTTCGAAAACACAAAAATGAGACGATATGTATGCAGAAATACTGGAACTGAAGATCAAGAGGATGATGAAGAGTGGGAGAATCTGGAACATTGTGACTGGTTTAGGGTCAAATCAGACAATGTCTCCGATCACTGACTCTGATGATCAGGCAGACAACCAGAGAATAAGTACCTGATGGATTGACACTACTTTTTGATTTGGGGGCCACTTTACAATACCTGCTTTTATTTGACTTAAAGTTTCTTATTATTAGTATAAAACGTTGTACAAATGTTTATCCGTTCAAGTTGCCACACTACATAACATCACATCAATAGAAAATTAACAAGACGAAAAGTAAGCAGTGAGAATCTACTGACGAAATACCGTTTAAAGGGATCAGAGGTGATACAAATCCAATGAACAGAAAAAAACAATCTTATTGAGTAAGAGGACGTGATAATACGTTTTCTCTCACGTACAATTGAAAATGGTATGCGAAAGCTTTTTTTTGTTTAGTACTGATTTTTAGAAGCTTACAATGAAATCAAACCCTCTTAACCTTTGATCAGTTGTCTGCTCATACATAAAAGTTATATTAAACTGAAGGACATATATCGTCAAGACTAACAGCCATCGGTTTTCAATACTCTATTTGTTTTATTCTTATGCAATTGTATTATGATTACTTACCGGAATAAATAATAACAGTAGAAAAGTATGTACGGCAAATGTCAATTGACTGTTGTGCGAATATAAATTATTAATCACAGGCATTAGAGTAGCTCCGAAGTTCAATTACCACACTGAATTCATAAACATTTCGTAAATCAATAAAGGTATATGGTACAAATGTTCCTAGCTAGTAATTAAAAACTGTTGATACACCATATTCAGGACTAAATATTAAATATTTCACTTGATATAGCATTTAAATACAAAGCAATTAATGAATTGGGCAATTTTATTTAGTCAATATTACAGTTAGTAAGCTTCACCTTAATTAATTATACGGTGTAGTTCGACAGACTCTTATTTAAAGTCTGAATTATTGAGAGAAACGACGGTAACTGATGATTGGAAATATACTATTTCAGATGGATTTTCCACAGTATAACAACTATGATCAGCAACATTTGACATTATTGATATTAGTAATTCAAAAAACGAGATCCACGAACAGATATAGTGTTATTGCTGAAATGTTTGTATTAGGTTTTTCAAAACAATAAAAACTTAGTTATGTATGAACTAAAATCTGAACTCTAGAAAAAAAAAACAAGAACACAATTTATGGACGAACCAATCACGAATAAGATAATAGGTTTCGGATTTTGGGGCGAAATTCACTCATCCATTTGGCTAAATAGAGTTTTGGCATTATAGCTGATGTCAGTTAGGGATGAAAACCCTAAATCTAATTCCTAAGCTTAATCATTAACTGTAAATTATAATTCTAATTCCTCATAAAGGTTCATAACCCTCATTTAGTCCTGGTTATTAAGCGAACACCCTCAAGGTCAATCTAGTGTCGTCCAAAGGTCGTCCATAAATTATAGTCTTACAGGAAAAAGGAATACATCCATTACTTTTCTACACTTTGTTCCCAATATGTAATATCGGAATGAAAAAGGTTTTGAGTTATTCCGTTGCTGATATTCAGGACTGAAGTTCGGTCAGTCTTTTCGGCACATGGATTCAGAACGTCAGTGAATTATTTATTTATTTATATTTATTTTAACGCATAGATATTGGTACAATGAGGCACCAAATACATATGTGCCACACAAATCTCATTCGATTTGTGTAAGGGCTGTGATACTGCCCGGGTGCCCAAACCGAAGCAGGTGGTTTTCCTAGGGTGCCACGCCCGGAGCCTTCAACATGAAGGTCTGATCCACAAGGCAGTGGAGCGACGTAAGGAGATGCAGTCCCATGGTAGCCGGTGACCAACGATTGGTTCATATGCCATTTGTTCCTTTAGGATACTGGAGCTCATGTGCACCATTGGTTTGGAATCAGGGTTTTCCAACTCCCCTAGGTGGACTCTCCATGTCAACGTGGTATGGTGGTATGGTCTACTGAATTCTCGGGTATTGATCTCCTTCCAGGAGGTCCACTTATCGACTCAGAATACGCAGATGACATAGTCCTGTTTGGTGAAGACGCTGATAAAATGCAGAGTCTTTTGGTAGCACTGAGCAACAATGCCAGAATGTTTGGAATGCGCTTCTCTCCCTCTAAATACAAGTTGTTGCTTCATGACTGCTCTACGTCAACACCCGAACTAAGGATAGGGAGTGAAGTAGTTGAACACGTTGACAACTTCACTTATCTTGGAAGTCTGATCAGCCCTAATGGGTTGGTGTCTGATGAAATCTCTACACGGATTCGAAAAGCTCGTTTGGCTTTTGCCAACTTACGTCACGTATGGCGAAGGCGAGATATCCGTCTATCAATTAAAGGACGAGTATACTGCGCGGCAGTCCGTTCTGTTTTAATTTACGGCAGCGAAACATCGCCATTAAGAGTAGAAGACACTCGTAAGCTACTAGTATTCGACCACAAACGCCCTAGAAATATTGCTGGCGTCTGCTGGGATCACCGGGTAAGTAATAGCGAGGTTAGACGTAGGGTATTAGGGAAGGATGGTAAATCAGTTGATGAGGTTGTGAATCTTCATCGACTGATATGGTTGGGCCACGTGTTACGTATGCCTGAACACCGATTACCACGACGTGCAATGCTAACCGGCGTTCGAGATGGTTGGAAGAAAGTAAGTGGCGGCCAAACCAAAACATGGCATCAGTGCTTGAAGTCACTAACTTCTAGTCTGAGCCATGTTGGTAGATGCAGACTACTTGGTTGGGGTCCGCGTGACTATCGTAACCAATGGTTGGAGACTCTTGGTGACATGGATCAGAATCGATCACAATGGCGTAGGTGTATACACTCTCTGTCTTCTCTTAAACTAAGAGATTAAAATCGCTTCATATCTTTCTTTCTACGAACTAACTCCTTCTTGCTATACCATATCCTTAGTGCAATCTTTCTTTTATATATTACCACCTCTGAATTAACTACTTATATGAATCCGGTGTCCATCTTGTTGTGTTAATGAGGTATGGCAACTTGGACCGATGCATATATGTGCCTGGTCCTACGTTGTAGCTGACTGACTGACTCTTCATGTCCACCAACCCGGTTAAAGCGCCGGACATTCGCTTTTCGTCCTCTCAATTTCGTAAACACCCTCGCCACGAGAAGGCAGTGATTAGGAATTCCCTGGCAGAGGCTATATAGGCGTGGCCATGTGAGAGCATTTCGAGAGGGAGAGCGGACTCACCGCACTCTCGGCCGTACCAGGATATTTGGGGGCAGGTCAGTGAATAACAAGCGATTGTTAGAAGCGAAAGATATTGCGTTCTAGTCTCACTACAGACAATACTGTGGACGTAGATAAATGCGAATAATGAGTCTCAACTAGGAGGAAACGTGTGTTACGGACTGCATTTTCTAGACATGGTCTATTTATTTGAACTAACGCATTACACTTATTTCTCATATTTATAGAATTTTCTTTCTTTGAATTGTTTTATTTCCTATCCCTTTAACTTCCTTTTCTTATTCATAATTGTTTCCCAGGACAATAATTTGTAATAACCTTGAACTAGCGTATCTTATTATTTTTATACAAAATGAGTATTTTTTACTAGGATTAAATCTTTTCTTTATTTATACTATAGACGTTACATAATCTATGTTATTACTAGTTATATTTTATTACTTCAGTATTAAAATCATTATAAGTCACGTTTTTATGATTATGCTAAAAATGTTTAAATGTAATTAAAACAAAAATATAAATACATTTTCGTTCTAAATAATTCATATCATTTTTTTGTTGAGTACAAGACAGGTTTTCCATGGTGGTCTAGCTTCAACTGACTCATGATTTCAATCTGTGAATACAAGACAGTTTATAAAAGGAATTTCATCAGAAATTTGAAAATAACTTCGAATATAATTCACTTGATATTGCTTTACTTGGATCTTCCCATTGATGTTTTAGGACTGAAATTGATCAGTCTCTTATTGGCATACGTGCATACTGTGCGTATGCCTCGATATTGCCTTAATTTACAAGCATTATAAGCAAAGATGGATAGTGGCTATCAGTGGAATCCAGGACGCGCGTTTCGTCCTGTTTGGGACTCGTCAGCTGGGTGTACCTGCATCTCAGAGTTGATGTTCACTCTGGGACTCGAACGGTAACAGTAGTAGTGGAAGTTTAAAATATTGAAGATAAACCATATGATTTGAAAAGGGTGAATTCGAAGGATAAAAAAAGTATGGGATAATTTTAACATTTAAAATATAAGGCAAGGGGAAGAAAGAGGATGGATCTATACCACTGAGGCTGATTCCGAGACTTCTCATCCAACACCTCCAACTACGAGTTGTTGTATTCATGAAGACAAACAATCAAGTACCTACAAATACGGCTCAGATCAATAGTTAGTAACTTCACGCGCTGATACTATTCATGACAATCGAATCATCTCTGTTGTTATTATGGTCGATCATTAATTAGTGTCATATAAACTACTAAAATCCTTTATTTAAAATATACGAAAAAAGTAACCAAAGGTTAATGACGAAAATGAAAAGAAACTCACCAATACGTGGTCTCATATTCGAAGGTAAATACGGAAGACTTTCACGCCAAAATAATAACATGGATTCTCTTGCCGCTAATAATATTTGACAGAGATGTCGATGAATAGCAAGTGCAAAATGACGTCTGTTGGGCTAAAATAAATTTTAAAAATGTTGATGAGGCAATAAATTAGATAAAATTATGAACACAATAAATTTTGATAATTGAAAACAAACATTAAATATAAGAGTTGAGAGTTATTAATCATTACCAAGGTTTTATATAATAATTTCAAATAGATTAAGCACTGGGTAGATTGTTGATGATAAAATAAAAACACATTTGTGATACCTCATTGGATAAAAATCAGAATTTTTGACGTTTCGCAGATTAGTTTAAGTTGCTTCTACAGAGTGTAAATAAACAGCTTAATTAAATTATTTGTTTATTTAAACATATGCGTCACACCTCGTCATTAGATTTTTGTGAGGGTTGGAATACCGCCCGGACACCAAAGAAGGAACAAGTGGTTTTCTTAAAGGGGTCACACTCCAATCCTTTGACTTACAGTTCTAATCCACAAGGCAGTGAAGCAACATCAGGAGATGCAGTCCCATAGTAGTTGGTGACCAACATTAGGTTCATACTTCATTTGTTCTTTCAGAATCCTGGAGCCAATGTACCCCATTGGTTTGGAATCAGGGTTTTCCACATTCCATAGGTAGATCTTCCGCATCCACCAACCCGTACTCTTAATTTCGTAAACAACACTGCCGCAAGAAGGCAGTGAGTGGGACGTTTAAATAGTACAGAGGAATAACGTCAGTATTGCAATTTGAGGAAAAAACTATCTGACTTGTTGGTTTACAGCTAGATTATCGGTTTTTCAACCAATTGTGGTAAATCTGAAATATCTCAATAGTGTAATATTTGCGAATATGAAATCGGCGTTGAATATAGCGTTATTAATTAAATTTACACATGAATTGACGTAGATTGAAATAAAATTAATGCATAACACCCAGTAATGTATCTCTTTTAACGAATAGTTTTAATTCTTCAATTTATGATGGAATAAGGATTTTCATTTGAACACAACATAAACAAAAGAATAAAAGTGATTCTGTACGATGACGGTGTTTAACAGTAGGACAGAACATACGTATCTGTGAGATGATTTTTTTGCAGAAATAGTTAGCACGTAAAACATTTTGCCAACAGTAATAATAATAATAATAATAATAATAATAATAATAATAATAATAATAATAATAATACATCACAGATATGCTTATCCCCATTAGCCACAGTGATCATTCAACAGTCAAAAATGTTATGTTAGTCAATTACCACAATTAATTCTTCACCTTCAATATTATTAAGGAATTTATTTCTAGTTTTCACACCTTATCCTTCAATGTTTAGTCTGTCTTATCACTATTTTTATTCATAATGTTCATTTAATCGTGTCTTACTGATATAATATGACAACTGAGACTGATGCACATCCGCAAAATGTTGTACGTTGATTATGACTAAGTGATAATTAGTGTGAAAATAACATCGTAAGCGACGGTAGCCAATATCAATCATAGATATTATTTTGACCGTAGTCGAGGAGTAGTTGAGTCGTTGTAGAGCTAGAGTAAAGGGGATTACTACCAGAAAAGATGAAGGAGCGACGTAAGACGTAAGGCAATACACGTTTCAACATGATGTTGTGTAAAGCGAGTTACAGTTTTCGAAAGACCGCTTAAATTCGAAGATAAACCTTGTCAACGTGCACAGAAAATAATAACACAGAAGTCCTATGCCTTTAGCTGATTGTTGAAAATACAATTAAAGATAGGATAAAAACCCTTTTGGAAATTCGATAGTTATACCAAACTAATTAGTCTTCAAAATACAGACCGAAATATTCCAGATCATACTGAAAATCAATAGTCATAAGAGCATGAAGGAGTGTAAACAGAGAATGATAGTTATTTCAACGATTATTAAATCGCGTAGGAAAACAAGAAAATAATGTCATAGGAATAATCCAGTGATTCATATTGCAATCAAATCCAACACGATCAGTGGTACAGTTCAAATTATGATGTGATTTCCAGTGTAATATAAGACTAATCAAGTTACAAATTCAGGATAAAAAGATATGATAGCACATCCTTGACTGTAATTTCTGGGCAATATATATTTACCATTACTCTTGTATGTGCACGCTAGAAGGTATTGAAGTTGCTGTATTCGTTAACACAGGCGAACTAAACAGACAAATTTCCCATCTAGAGTCCTATGGTTGTAAACAACTATCCTCAGGTTCAAACACAATCCTCATGCGACTTATTTCACTTAAGAACAAATCGAACACTAACACAACCGCTTAAATAATCAAGATATGACTAAAAGCTCAGTAAATGAACTTATATTTTAGTAAATTGAAATATTTTTTAAAGGTCAAAATAAATCATAAACAATGTTAAGACATTTAATTGTTCTATTTGAATACTACCAAGAAAGTAATATTAACAGTTGATTAATATATTTTTCAGTGAATACAAAACTTATAAGAGGTCATTACGAGATATATACGCAAATATATTAACATATTCAATCAGAATACATTTACGTATATATAATAGATAACTTAGGTTTTTCTTTAAATGTTTTATCAATATGTCAATTAATTAAAGTCATTACAAAAAGGGTTTGAAATTAAGTTATAAGTTATTTCCAGAGAATTAATAATAAAATTACTGCTTATATACATGGGTAGTATGGAAATAACAAACGTAATAATAATATAGATAAAAGACTTAAACACCGAAACTAACAATTGACCTACAATATAACCAAAATTATTGCTTTCCAATTCGTTGCATCTTAATTACAACAAATCATTTTAATTGAGACAGATTATAACAAAAGAGTAATATTTATGGTAGGTACAGTTGATATATGAGTTTCATATTTAGTTTATCAAAGTTAAGAACAAATTGATTGGTTGTTTATTAGTTGGTTCATAAGATATGGTTTGATTAATGTGAAAGTAAGTTATTGGTAGCATTTTATAATTATTCAGTTCATTTACCAAATACAGATTTGTGTATTTAGCTTTGAAACAACACTCATATTGTGATGGCTGGTGATACTATTTGGTTGCCGTAAATCAATCCGGTAGAGCTAGAGTTCGGATGTGAGACTTCGTTGCCGAAAGTTCAACGACTTAAACACTGAGTCACCTCTTCATCATAGAAGTAACATGATATAGAATAACTATGTATGTATAAAAACTATATTCGGCATAAATTTCATTTACATAATCTGAGAATATCATTTTACATATGACAATGAACAAGTTTGAGGTACTCGTAACGCTTGATCAAATTAATTCGGATAGTCTTGGGAAAAACGCTGATTTTAATTATTATGTTAAGCAGAAACAAACTATACCACTTAACCATGAGTTAATCTTTGGTGTGAAAACATAGATAGTTTTGTAAAATGTTTATTTTACCTCCACTAACTTAAATTAACAAAGAGAAACAATATCACAAAACATCAGAAAAAGATTATGATAATCAAAATTTCTATTAAGAATGTATCCATTCTATGGAGAAAAATAACTGATTAGTTCATGGAAAAATGAAGCATTATGTTTGATTAAAAGTATGCTGGAAAATGAAATGAAATTAAAGAAGTTACTTCATCATATTGTTTAGTGACTGAAACTATATTATAATGCAGAAATTAAAGAATAATAAAAATAATCGTTGAATTTGTAAAGCTAAATTTTAACGTTTATTTAATGGTTTCAATATATTTTGTTGTTGCTATGATACACTGGGTGACTGAAAACGATCGAAATCAGATTATTTATTTTAGTTGTGATTAGCATGGTTTACGGCGAATGAACCAAGTATTCACAGTTATTCAGTTTATAGACCAATACTTCAATTTTCTTTAAAAATGATTGGGTAAAGTGACAGACAGTCATTATCACAATGGAGCTTGACAAAGATGTTGCCATTATTTGATTGGCACAAGATGAAAACATTGACATAATGTAGTAGCAGTGATAAAAAAAAAGACTAAACCTTGGGAATGTGATTTGAGAAGATAGAAGAGCAAGACATGTATGGAAGGATACTGAAATTCAAAATAGGAAAAAGGATAAAGAGTGAATACATCTTTTCAACTCCAAATGACTTTGAGCCATATCACCTAAATTCTCAAACCACTGACTGTCGTTATCATGTGGACCTCAATCAGGTATTATGCAGCTTTCTACATAAATCAGACCGACAGTTAGTGACTTGATAGACTAATGATTCATTAATTCAGTCTTGGGGCGATAAATAAAACTTATTTAAGATTTATTAGTTCTAAGTGCTAAGTAAATTTAATAAAGGTTGTTACGAGATTTTGAGACACTCTGAAAGAGTAAACTCTCAAACTGATGTAAAGAGGAGGTAAATTGATATGTTCCGAGCTTCATATATTATGGACAGGCGATTTTATTTGAAAACCTGTAAGACGAACTGGATAAATATTACTGGTATCATAGATTGGAGGCGTAGTCAAACAGTTCAAAAGGTAGTTGATTGAGATGAGTCATGATTAGGGTTTTTGGACCATTGAAATGAAGCATCCAAACAAGAAACTGTCCCTGTAAATACTAAAGGTGATTTATAGTAAGCAATCGAGACGCTGCTATGTTTGAGGAGCCAATGGTGATGAGAAAGTAGATAAAGTCCGCCTTCATAATATAGAAGCTAGAGAGACATATACTGGTCTAGCTTAGATTTTCCGGTTGAGAATGGGTGATAGCGCATATCTGGTCATGGAATAGCTCCTTGGTATGATATATATATATAAGATTAGTATTTGTTAGTTCACAAAGACTTTTTCGGCTGGGTCTAAGTATTCATCCAACCTAGTGTCTTGAAGCATTATCCTATATAGAATAGAAACCTGTAGCAATCTTGGTGTAATTTTCTATTAAGGTTTCTCCAGTCAGTAATATCCACTTTGTAACTGGATGAGATTTCTATTGGTTTACAGTTTAATTAAAATGTATTAATCGATACATAATGTTTTCCTTTCTTTTCTTTTTTAAGGAGTAGTTTTTTTTTATAATTTTTTTCAGTTTTATTGTTTATGAAACATTATTTGGTGAATTATTGTAGCAGTTGTTTTAAGAGATTAATTGAATAAAAAGTATGACTATAAACTTAATATTACTTGGAAAAGTCTCATAAAAGCGTTAGTAATATAGTGTATTAATAGTCTTTTTTCTAAGAGTAGTCATTTACAATAGGAATCAATTAGTCGTGCGCGACGTAGAACCTGGAATATAAATAAATCAGTTCAAATTACGACACTAAATGATCAGGATAGATACCAGAGAAATGGGATTTGTAACAGTGAATATTAGTAGAAAATTTTAAGCAAAAACAATATAATTCGATAAGAAAAAATGAATTCATGGAATAAAAAGTATAGGTGCTTTAAGATAAAAAGTGAATGCATCCACTTCATTAAGACTGATTAAAAACTGTGTTGTTCAAATAAACATCAATTGTGTTTAAGAAAAGACGGGAATAGTCTTTTTCGATATTTTTCAAATAAATAATTCTCAATGACTGCTTATTTCACCATCGGAAACATCGCAATGAAAAACATTTTTAACAGTTTACATAACGGCTTAGTCGTAAACCATTATTGAAAACTAGGAAGTACTAGACAGTTATCTCGTCGTAGTAGGAAACTTTGCAACTGTCCATACAGACGGTAACACCTAGATTCAGTTCAAGATATAAACTGAGAAAGTTCAAACAATCTCCTCAAACCACCAATACTAATAATAATCATATGCTCATTAGTAATTTACTTCGACAGACAATTCTAAAAGTTATAGTAAAGAAAAGTGGTTAGTATGGTTCAACCATATTAAATGTGAGATAGGTGGCGGAAGGTCGTCGCACAGTACCATGAATTGATTAGTTAGACATGCAAACCACTGGATGATAAGTAAGTGCTTTAAAGGGTTCAGCGTGAAACACAAAGGTCCTGGATTTGATTCTTCGGTGATGACTTGGATATAGACTGTTGATAAGTTTCATACTAGGACGAAACAGTCAACCAGTTTCCTGGTTTTCAATAGTTATTAAAGATTAGTCTATGAATGGAAATTTTCGCAAAACGTCATTTTACGTAAAAAGATAAGTGGTGCTAAACTAGAAACTATTGTTAGTTAAACAATTCATCCACAGTTTTGGATCAACAAAATGAATCCCGTTATCTTTACGAAATAAATAGTAATAATTTTATTAAACCAGAATGATTTATAAGAATAAGAACATAAATAATTAATCAAACAATGTACACACCTGTTTGATACTGCAAATGATACCATGCCATGTTTGTTGAGCTAAACTAATTATTTGGTTGTTTGTTTGTAATGGTGTACTATGTGGTGAAAATTTTGGCCAACTATGTATAAAAGAGAAAGAAACAGCTTTCGAAACCATCTGTCATAAACAAATAGCGAAAATTACTGAAGTAAAATACAGTTTTGCAAGTTTAACTCATTTAATTTAAACAATTATTTATGGTTTACATTATGGAATGACATTTAACTAGGTAATCATAGAAAACTAAGAAGTCGTGAAAAGTAATTTTATCCTGGTGTGAGAATCCTCAGAAACATACAGCGAGAAGCTAACCGTGGAGCATATCTAGGTACCTAAAGATTCATGGTGACGTTCAATATCATACAATAACTACATCTTTCCGCTTTTCCAACTAGCACAAACATAGGCTCGTAATACTCGGTATAGAAACTACAGAAGTGACTCAACTTCAGTAATTATCATTTAACACAAGTATATAGATAAAAGATGGCTTTCATAAATTTTAATTATTTAACTAATTCACCAGGTACAGATTCATGTAAATGGCTTTGAGCCACACTCTTAGGTATGAGGATTAGTGATAATACCTAGTCGCTAAAACCGAAGTAGGTTTGGCTGTGTTCGAACCTGTGAACGTCAAACGCCTAAACCACTAAGCCAATGCCTTCATAAAAGGACTGGACGAAAAGATGGTATGAAAAATCTGAATTGATTTTATATATCATATATTGAATTGACTGACAAAACAGTATGATTAGTTAGTAAATGAAAAGATTGAAAGCCGGAAGTATACTTATAATTTTGTAGATTCATAATGGCTTTAGAAGCATAACTTAAAATTTTAAAAGACCGAGGAAGACATAAATATTAACAATGTTTTAAACAAGACAGGAAATTCTGAAGTATATTTTCTGAAAAATAAATTTATGCTGTGAAATTACTTTCAAATTTCGATAGATAACCGACTTTCAAATGAATCAGAAGTTAGCAATTTATAGATCAAAAACAGTGTAACATAGTAAGCAAATGTATGTATTATACGAAATGGTATTACTATCTGATTACCTAAATCGAACTAGGTAGAGTAAAATATGTCAACTTTTGATCCTTGACGAATACTACCAACAAAAGAAACAGACCACCACAAAACCTTTACAACCAAACTTTGGTAGTCAGCTCATGAATGACTTAATCCAAGAGGTTCTTGAGTATTTAGTTATGACTGATGGAGTTGTGACATATTGGGAGTCAAATAGTTGTCATCAGTGATATTGGATGGTCGTCTCCTTTTTTTCACAAACTGATTGAAGGTGGAGTTGTATCGTTGGAGGTTAACTCAGTAGTTCTAATAATTAAGCTTTTCAGGCAAGACCTGAAGTTTCCTGGTTGATTTGTAAATATGCACTGCTAAGGAGTCCCCCACTAAGATGCAAAGGCTGCCCAGTACTCCTTGTGTGGTGTGTGCTACTTATATTGACATAAGTAGTATATGATGTCAGTCGTGGACAGAAGGTCTGGCAGCAGAGAGACAAGAGGACTGAACAGTAAAATATAGAAACAGGATGCAATTTGTATGAAAATGCAAGAACAATGAAGTCTGAGTCATCTTGAGACAATTAGTGGACATTTTCCAAATTAAGCATTTACTTTATGATTGTTAGATTTTATTAACAATTCCTGTAATTTTTTGTTAAATACATTCGGTTTTCCCCACTGGTATCAGAGCTGAAATCAATCTGTGACGAATACAAACTATGTATCGAACAAAAGACGAATGTTTAAGCCATTAGGCTTCTGCTCGAGAATAGCCAATGTCCAGCTTATTGAACCAATAGATAGTAGGCTCTGACCCTGCCTTACTTTTTTTGAGCAGACTGGTAGTGTTACTAACCCCCGTACGAACGAAATAACTCAAAGATGAATACATAAACCAGTAGTTTGTAGTATACTTTACAATATATTTATTTAAAATGGATATTGAAGAAGTACTTACCTAATAATACTTGAAGTGATGTTTGTTAATGCTCCATAAAGTGCCAATTCAATAGCACATAAATGAAAATAATCGAAGAATACGGTGAAATGATAGTGAAGTCCACGAGATGGTGTTAAATGAATACGTAGTTGACGCTCACATACCTTAGTCAGAAATTCAGGAGCAAAGGGTCTAGAAGGAAAACAGAATCTTTTGTAACAATTGAGAACCAGAACAGTTTATTAAATAATTTATATATATATATATATATATATATATATATATATATATATATATATATCCATGTAATCATGCATAACCTTCTACAACTTACCTTAACGTCAGTCACTGTCGCACTTATTAGGCAGGTGGGAAAACTTTTGACCCAGACCTTCTCGCGGTGCCCTGAGGATAGTGGAGCTGTGTCTCATGAACTAATATGGGTGGTTTGATAGGGACCGAACTAATCAACCATTCTACCGTGAACCTGGACAACCCACTAGATAACGTGTTAATATTGTATGTTGAGGTTCCATTCTGAGGCAGTAAAAGTGGAAACATCATCTATGCCTATGAGTGAACTGTGGAATAAAAATGTCCCTTTCTTGTATACTTTATATATACATGTAACGTATACTTGCTGAAGATTTAAAACCGAATTTATCATTTTTTTTTAATGTTCAGTAACCTTCTATATCCGAAACGTAACTGAAGAAAGCTTATGTATTCAATTCAGTTCCTAGATCTCCAGAGCAAATAAGTCTAGCATAATGCCAGTGCGATGACCATAAACCATGCTCCAAATCATGTGATACAGGGGTCGACACTATATCTCAATATGGAACAACTGTGAGGATAACATGTCGTCAATAGATGACTTTGTGTGGAAACAAGTCGTACAAGTAAACAATGAGAAGCTGACCTTAAAAACATTATCATATGGAAAAATAAATATTACACAATGCAAAGGTAAAGATTACCAATACGTGACTATCATTAACTACATCTTAAAACAAAAGAGCTTATTTATTTTGAAGTTCGACGAAAATCATTCAAAACAAATACATTGTGACAATAATAATAATAATAATAATAATAATAATAATAATAATAATAATAATAATGGTGCAAAGGTCATCATAAAAGTAAAACTTAGTTCAATTACACGCTAACTGGAATGAATTCACTACTGAAAAAATCAATATTGGTCAGGTTTTCATGGAAATGATGTGCATATAATTTGCTTGCGAAATACATGTGTTAGGTTCCATGTTGGTTATGGCTATCCTGGTTTTGAAACACGGTGATTATGTGAGGGATGTTCAAACCAACGTAAATGAAGAGAGTTTCTAATATATGACCTGTCACAGACGGTGGGAAGCCGAGTGCTTTAACCATGCTTCCAAACCAATGATGCACACAGGACCTAGGATCCTGAGGGAGCAGTTAGCGTATGAATCTATTGTTGAGTGCTGTTAGATGTATGAGGAGAGTTATCACTTCCCTTTTACCACACCGTGGAAGGGTTCTTCCTGAAACACCTGAAAAGGAAATTAGGTTAGAGGTGGTCTTTGTGACCTGAGAGCGTGACCGCAGTGCTCAAAAGACAATTGCTTGAGGCCAGTCACACAAGACCTTCTTGTAATTTTCGTGTTAGCTCCGTACTTGTTGGGACCTTACTGCCGGAGACGAACATCCGTGGGATAAGGCGAGGTGTGCACTTTTAGGGTCGACCTTTTCTAAACCCACCCCTCCTTGTGGGAAGGCAGCGTCGCTGTTATGCTGGTTGTCTGAAGGAAACAACTGACTGCTGTCACCTTTCTATACAGTCAGCAGTATGACTTCGCCTTCGGACCTTGGGTTTGCTGCTTTTAGTTTTACCGCTCCTCAACCGACTTGTCTGGCATAGTAGCACCTTTAGGAACGGTCGTTCCAGCCAGTGTAGCTCGATTGGTTCGTTATGATAAGTAGGCCCGAACACCACATCAAAGCAGCAGCAACGGTCGTGAATCTATTGTTGGTCACCCTCTACCATGGGAAAGCATCTAACGTTGCTCCTTCGCATTACGGATTAGACATTTAGGTTATAGGCTCAGAAAGTGGCTCCCTACGAGAATCACCTACTTCGGTTTGATCAACCGAGGAGTATATCCCAGCTCACGTATTATTTCAAAGATGTGCACGGTGCATACATATACGCATACTATAAACGATGTTCAATTGGAATCAAACGAAATTGAGATATTATAAATGAACTAAACGAAAAATAATACAAATAAAGTACATGAATGCGTACGTGTAAGTTAGCATGATGGGTATAAGCAATACAGATGCACTAACAACCAGTGAGTTAATGTGAAATAAGTTGAAGCACTCTAGCACAGTGACTGGTTTAGGAAGACTACTGATGATGTTTGTCTGTCTTAATTGACATTATCAACTGCCTAAGATTTTGTGCATCGTTTCCTGGTCAGATGGCCGTTATGTAACAAAATACTTGACTACGACTTCGTTATTGATGAGACTTGTAATTAGACGAGACAAAACAGTAGTTTAGAGTGTTATTTCACAGCTTGTAAGCAAAATTTGCTTTGAAAGATACTCAAAGATACAAAACAAGTTGAAAGACTGAAAATTTCACACGAGCAAAATAATGATAGCGACAGTGAAGAGCGTATAAAAGGCGCTATCTTTATACTGTTGGGTGAAATAAGATTTATTTATTTATTTATTTAGCCAATCCCAAGAGATATCAATTTATCGAGTTAGCCAGGGAGGAAAAATGTAATTGGACTGTACGGTTATGGCTTGTAAAAAGAGGGCTTTGGTCAAAAAACCAACAATTCATTTTCTCTTAAGCATTTAGAAAATTGGTGTATGCAAATAACGTGATAATATGTGGGTAAGATGAAGTATCTGATAGAATTGACTAAAATGCTATAAAATCCTAAAATTATTGATAGAATTATAGAGGCAAAAAGAAAAGAATTAGAAGGTAATTGGATGTGTATCGTTTTAAAGGCATCATGTATAATGAGAAAACTGAAAAGCATATAATAAGTTAGCGAAGAATCCATGCTTACTTACACCCTTTAGAACGGTGGAGAGAAACCTATGTTTACGCGTATATAAGTTTAAGTGCCCTAGAGATGTATATGGATAAACTGTTATCAAAAGGCATGGTCACTGATTATTTATTGAGGGAATTGGATAACATCCAATAAAGTCTTTCGATGACAATTCCTAAGCTCATAATTGGTAGAAATTGACTAAAAATCAAAGTAGACAACTAAATTTGGTGTGAAGTTTAAATAGTTGACAGAATAGTAATTTTATTATCCATCGAAATAACCATATTCCATAAATATTACCATTTTGTCAACTGGTTTCAGAAACTTTATATTTGATACCTTATTAATTGTTTTCTTTTGATATAAAACCCACTGAACAATTGCAGGACCTTGATTTGTTATTTGTTAAAGTGGAGCATGTTAATTCTGAATAATTCGGCACGGAATATTTTTGTTTTATTTTGAAGAAACAGACAATTATTGTCTGCACATACTTATTAAAAATACAAAGATGACGTAATCACAAAAACGATTTATGCACTAAATCAAAGCATAGAAGCGACAGCCAAATTCTAACGTATCATATATGATCAACGTAATCACTCACATAGTCTTATAAAACAAAACCACCTTAGAGCAGTAGAACTTATCAACACTAGTAGCAAAAACACAGTAAATCGTTTTCAGCTCATGATGAAAATGTCAAAAAAATGCTGATCAATAATTGGACCAACAATTATTCATTGATCACTTGTTAAGTGAAAATAATCATAGTTATCTAAGTGTTTGTTTCAGCTTTTTTTTGAAAATGTGTACTGTATTAAAATTATGAGGTAAAAAAACGGAAGATATATTTGTGAAACTTTGACATAGTAACCATCAACTGGTGACGAGACAAACTCTGGAGAATGTTTTGAACCTTGGATGAAGCTGAATTATCACTAACGAAATGACATAATTAGTCTGATGTCCAACAGCAAGCGCTGACAGAAATATTGAGTCCCAAAACCGTTCTACTTTTCAGTTAGTGACATATAAAAGAAGAATAGGGTTTTAAAGCCAGTCTCCGATTTTGAATTAAATTAAGAACCTGAAATTATACTTGAAGCTTCGTACGGAAGATATCAACATTTATCAAAGTTTAAGATTTATTAAATTACATAATGAGTTAAAAATTGTTGCATTTTGCCATGATTATCACAAACTGACTCGATAAGGTGATTCGAAAACCGAGGACATTGACAAAAACATACACAATAAAAGTGCGCACTATTTCGCCGGTAATTCTTCAACTAGATATTTTATTTTATTTTATTTGAACACATGAATATTGGTACAAGAGAGCGCCAATATATATGCGCCACACAAAACAATGAGAATTCGAAGAGAAGTGGAAAAAAAACTAAGGAGCGCAAAAGAAAAAGAGAACAATGACGAAGAGATTGGAGTAAGGTAGTGTGGTAGTAACGACGGAACGAAAAGGTACAATCAGAAGAAATCTTTCAGGTAAAGGAGACACAACTACTTTTTATGAAGAAAGTAAAAGAAGGTTACAGCAGGATCGCCACTGGCTTCTATTCTGAGCCATATCTGATAACGTCTCTAGCCACTGTGTAGCACCATCTCTCAGACCCCAGCCAGGGAGTCGTGAAGGACCAACACAAGCCAGTCCTTTGCAGCTTTCTTTCATGCCACGACACCATGTCATGCACTGACCACCTCTCCGCTTCTTCCAACCAGTCCCAGAGTCGGCAAATAATGCACGACGTGGAATTCTCTGGGACGACATTCGTAGAACATGTCCAAGCCACCGAAGTCGGTGTTTCAAGATGGTGACACCAATTGAATTATCATCTCTGTGCCCGAACACACGATGCCGAACCTCTGCATTACTGACATGGTGTTGCCACTGAATGTCAGCAATCCTTCGGAGACAGCGATGATCGAACACAGAGAGTCGTCTAACGTCCTCAACTCGGAGAGGCCAGGTTTCACAAGCATAGAGCAAAACTGCTCTCACCGACGCGTTGTAGATCCGGCCTTTTACAGCCAGACTAACATCACGAAGGCGCCAAAGGTGGCCCAGATTGGCATAAGCCGCTCTGGCTTTCACTATTCGTGCATTGATCTCATCACTCACACCCCCACCAGCACTTATGCAGCTACCCAGATACACGAACTTCTCAACTACGTCTATCTGCTCACCATCCAGGGTGAGTACAGGATTAGAATCCTGCCAGTCTTGTAGAAGTACTTTGCACTTGGAAGGTGCAAAGCACATACCATACCTACGGACACTGATTGCCAACTGATTAAGTGCGGATTGCATGCCTTGGGCATTATCGCACAGTAAGACAATATCGTCCGCATACTCAAGGTCGAGAAGTCTTTCTCCAGGCAACAGATCCACACCACCATTACTTACATTCATCAGAGCTGTTTCCAGAATGTCATCGATGGCAAAGTTGAAGAGGAATGGTGAGATTGGGCAACCCTGCCTAACCCCACTGCTCGAATGGAACAATGGAGAGAGGTGGTTGTATGCCCTCACTCTGCCTGAGGTGTTTTTATATAGGGCTTTTAGGATGTTAATAAACTTCTCAGGCACACCCTTCTTCAATAGACAATCCCAGAGAACAGTCCTGTCCAACGAATCGAAGGCAGCCCTGATGTCAAGAAACACTACGATTGTTGGCCTTTGAAAAGTATGGCGGTGTTCTAACATTTGGCGGAGGGTGAAGATATGATCAATACATCCTCGACCAGAACGAAACCCAGCCTGCTCCTCGCGAGTCAATCTTTCTCGGGTTTTGAACAACCTACGAAGAATGACGGAAGCCAATAGCTTGGACGCAATCGGAAGTAAACTTATCCCCCGATAGTTGTTACAAGAACGACGTGAACCCTTTTTAAAGATAGGGACAACTATCGACTCATTCCATGACGTTGGTACACTCTCTAGTTCCCAAACCTTTGTAAACAACGTCGTCAATTCCTTAGTCAAAAAGTCACCACCATCTTTAAAAAGAGCCGGAGGTAAGTCATCTGGGCCAGGTGATTTGTAACGCTTCAAGAGTTGGAGTTCCTTGCGGACTTCCTCCTCATTTGGTGGATCAGTCGTCACCGGCCATGGAGGGCAGGACAGTCTGACCGATGTTGCCGAAGCAGCAGGCCAGTTGAACTGCCCTTCGAAAAATTCTGCCCATCGTCCAAGACGTCGATGGATGTTAGTGATTGGCATCCCATCATCCTCGCAGATTGTTTCACTCACACCAGACTTATGGCTGCCAGTGGCTCGGATGAGCTGGAAGAGCTTCCGGTAGTTACCAGATGCAGCTGCTGCTTCCAGCTCATTAGCACGCATCGACCACCAGGCTTCTCGGTCCTTACGCAAGCTTTGCCCAATTTCCTTACGTAACATCCTTCGTTTATGGTCAAACTCACGGTCACCCGGAGTAGACCGACGGGCTTCAATGAGTTGTAAGGAACCTGGAGAAACCCAGTGCTTAAAAGCGGGACGTTTCGCAAACCCATAACTGACTGTTCCCGCCATTTTGATGGCGTCATGCAATTGCAACCAATGCTCATCTATACTTTTCGGTGGAGTGGTAGCTAGCCTAGAGGCTAGCTCGGTTCGATACTTACTTGCAACAGAAGTTGCAACCAGCTTGCTAACATCAATCTTTTGGTGGTGGTCACTTTGTTGGCCACTGAAAAGTAAGGCAAGATTGGCGCAGACCAAGGCATGGTCAGAGTCCAGATAGGTACTCCAAAAGGAGCGGCAGTCTTGTACACAACCACGCCAGCGGTAGCTGATCGCGATGTGATCAATCTGAGTCCAGGCTTGAGATGCAGAGGGAGGACGCCAGGTGGCACATCGGCGATGACTGTGCCGAAAGTTAGTGCTAGCCAGAAACAGGTTGTGGTCTGTGCAAAGTTGCAGTAGACGGTCCCCGTTATCTGACCTGCGACCAACGAGTCCCCATCGGCCACCTAAACGACTCTCTTCTGTGCCTAGACGCCCGACCTGAGCATTCAAGTCTCCGGCTAGTACTACAATATCTGTCGAACGCACTTTCTGGAGAAGAACTGATAACTGGTGGTAAAACTCATCCTTGATTGCATCCGGGCTGCAATCTGTCGGGGCATAGGCGGAGATGACGAAAAGACATCGTTTCTCACGCCGATTTCTTCTCACTTTGATGGAACTTTCTAATCTAACAGCACATAACCGACTGTTAATGGGGATCCAATCGACTAGTGCTGCCTCAGCTCGAGCGCTTAGTGCGACACCAACGCCAGCAAGACCAGACGAAGATGCCACAGGGTCCCCGGATAAGCGCACGTAAAACAAGATTTTCGAAGCGACAGATGGAGATCGAATTTGTAGTACTTCGCCAGAGTCTTGAATACGGGTCTCGGATAGACAACAAACATCAATATTAAGACTTTCCAAAGACATAGCCAGCCCTATCTGTTTTCCGACCTGCATAAATGTGCGAACGTTGAAGGCAGCCAGTTTGAATGGTGCACGTGGTTTCAGAAAAACTGCTTCAGTCCTCGTATTCCATGGTAACATACAATTTTCAACCGGACAGTGACTCGAGAACGTTTAGATACAGTCGAATTTCCACCAAAGACGAGCCGCTGTATAAGTATAAAAGAGGGTGAATAATGTGGAAAATAATAATAATAATAATAATAATGACAATAATAGTAGTAATAATAATAATAATAATAATAATAGTATTAATAATGACAATAATTGAATGATAATAATCTGAATCAATTGTTTGTTTTTCAAAGCGAGAAAGGTAATTTCCATAGGCATAAAGAGTTCATCAATTTGTATGTGGGCTGTGATACTGCCCGGGTGCCCAGACCGAAGCAGGTGGTTATCTTAGGGGGCCACTCCCCGAGCCTTTCACCTAAAGGTCTAACCCACAAGGCAGTGGAGCATCGTAAGGAGATGCAGTCCCATGGTAGCCGGTGACCAACGATTGGTTCATACGCCATTTGTTCCCTCAGGATACTGGAGCCCATGTGCACCATTGATTTGGAATCCGGTTAAAGCGCCGGACATTCGCTTTTCGTCCTCTCATTTTCGTAAACAACACCCCCGCCACGAGAAGGCAATGAGTAGGACTTCCCTGGCAGAGGCTGTACACGCGTGGTCGTGTGAGAGTATTTCGAGAGGGAGAGCGGACTCTCCCCACTCTCGGCCGTGCCAGGGCATTCAGGGGGGTCAACTAGATAACCTACAGTTCAGATGATAAAGAGAGAAATGTGGTTTATGCCAGCTCCAACTGACAATGATATAGTGTGAAGTGAGCGGGTGTTCGTGAAAAATATTGAGAAGTACTTAATAGTTGGTCAATAAGTGTAAATTGGGAAACATTCGTAGATGAGATAAATTCAAAATGAAGGTTTAAAAAACCCTCGCTTAGCCAATGATACCATCTGTACAGTCTAATGAATCCCACTATGCATCTCTTTGAGAAAAATTCACTTTCCAAATTTATACGTAGAATTGGAAAAATATGACACAATTGGGGATATTATTCATAGAAAAAAGTAACAAACTGCACAACACTTGAATTATAATGGCTTTATTTTCGCATTAATTACAAGAAATCTGTGTTCCTTAAACTTTTCTTTTGAACATAAGATTTACCAAAGTATTCGTTATGTTGGATATGAGAGATACTCTAAACGTTACGAGATATGATACATAACAGACAGCAAGCTACAAATAGTCAACTTTTACAAAGCCAAATTATTTTGCTTTATGTTAAAAGGAGAATAAATATCATTATAGATTGAAAATGCACTGAAAAAGACAACCTGGTGCTAGAGAAGTAAACATAAAGTACGGACACATCAAGTCCAATGCTAGCCATATTTATAAACTACCGATGCGTAATCAAAAGAGATGCAGTGGACTACACGATATCAAATTAAAGTCTCTCAAAATTTCTAGGTAATAAATATCCTAAGAACATTAAATTTACTGACAGCATCGCTCTTGAAGATTTAAAATCTATAGACGATCAGTTTCTCATCGTTGTTTTCTGATTTATTAGTCTCATTTTTGATGAGCCTATATGGTATCAGATGTCGATTAATTCATTTCTATGTAAGGTGTGGAAATATATGCTCTGGTGGGAATGCAAGAACTATTGGTGCCAGTAATTTCATTATAGCAAAGTAGATGAGAGCTGTTGGGTTGAATCTCGAGGATTCTGTTTCACTTTTATTATCTAGGTCGTATTTCTCATTCACTTATTTGTGTTGGAAGTCACCATTTTCCGACTGACGAAAATTATAAAAAGAGCATAATTCATGAGCCCTATTCGTTTTTGCTCAAAATCATTTAAAGTACAGAAGCTATTGGAATGTTAAAAGGAATAGTTGCCTTACCGGAAAGATAAAAGCAGAAATATAAAAGTATTTAAAAGCCGACACATTCACTTTATTTACTAGATATAATAAATTTGACTTGCCTGTCAAGCGGGTCTTCGACAAACCATAGCTCAACGCATAGGAAAAGATCGTTTTTTACTAAAGACTCCTCTAAATTGATCGGATCAACTTGAACCAATACCCTCTGTTCAAACACATCACATAACCTTGCCGATTCATCTCGATACATGATCAACAATGTTTTGCTACATGCTTTGTCTGGTGTGTAAGCTGGAACAGAAACACTCGGCTCGATATAACTGGCTTTTACAGCTTCTGGCACTTTGAGTCGTGTACTAGCTCGTTCCCAACGGGATGGCGGTTCAACAAAGGCAAGTGATTTACCATTGTTAGATCCAGTAGTCCCTGTGGTTTGCACACCTGTTTTTAAGTGAGTACGAACTTGGTAATAGCTATTTCAATTTATGATTATCATAGACAGTAAATAACTCACCCACGATGGTACAGATCAATATTATGAAAATCTCGTAGTTCCACAACAAACGATAAAGTAGCTTGGATTAAGGGCATCAGCACCTAAAAAGTCAGGTTTGAAATACAACAAATGCTTTACAGCGTGATTACAAAAAACAGTCAAGTTATATCAAATAACAAGACACAAGTTCTATTAAATATAGTGAAAATGAACCCCAAAAAAGACTACTGATCAGAGCAGTGTAATGAAGTGAAAAGTGAGAGCGATAAGGGCGAGGCTATAACTTGTGGACGAACCAATCAGATTTAGGATAGTAGGTCTTGGATTTTGGCACGAAATTTATTCACTCATTTGGCCAAATAGCGTCTTGGCATTTTAACTTGTCAGTCCGGAAATCTAATTCCTAGCCCCAAACCATCAACTGTGAATCGTAATACTTACTTTTCAAACTGCTTTATAACCCTCATTTAACCCTATTAAGTAGGTAGACACTCTTAAGGTCACTGGCGTCGCTCAAAGGTCGTCCATAAATCGCAGTCTCACCGCGATAAGAAACGCTTCTTTGTAGTTATTTGTGTGACGAATGCTTGAGGCTCAGGCGACAAGACTGAGACGGTATAAAAGGTAACAGTAGTAGGTTGGGATGTCCTGGAAGCCTGAAAAGCAGGGAGTAGGTTAATTCCAGTTATCTTAAACATTTTATCCTGCAACCGAATCTCCGATATGAAAGGTTGTTTTGCCCCTTAAACTTCGGAAATATTATTCAAACAAATCACACTGAGAATTAAGACTGAATGTTGAGATATACAGCTTGTAACCAACTAACGCAATTCTGCTTGTCTTTTATAAAAAAGTATTAGGTCAGTGTCCTAGTAAATGCGAATTATATGCATCACCGCGGAAAAGTTGCCACGTGAAAGCCTAGGTGAACGACTGCGAGCTTAGAACATAAAATAAGGCTTTCAGTGAAGCATCGAGAAATAATATGTCCCACAAGTGGAATAACGAAAATATTTTACTAAAGCGTGTGGAACCAGGTACGTACATGAATACTGAGATTGGTAAAACAATTTGAGCACAGAAAGCCTTGTATGCAGTTAGAGCATTAAGATCCACCCACAAATGTTCAAAATGTCTAACACCACTAAACGCAACGATAGGAATCACATTAACGGCCTACCGGATAAGAAACTACTACCTCATTTATTGCGCCTTTTTTAGGTTACTTTTAACTAATCAAAATAGTACGAATAAATCACTGGCATCGAAAACAATAACTATGCAACTAAGGTTGTATTTAAAATTCTGGCTAAAAAGCATGTGGATTTTAATTGCCCCTGTAAGCCTTAAAATGTTTGAATTCAAGGTAATGCTTAAGAACATAGGGGACCTGTTTGGCTTATCTCTAGCTTACGTTGGGTGATCCATATAAATGCACAGATTTAATTGGCGGGTTCGAGAGCCGTTCACCAGGTGAGAAGACTCATTTTTAGCAAGGATTTAGTCCATCTTTGGCTTTGAATTCGCTCAGCAAGTCTAAGGTCTTCTCGGATATTCCTGGTTGACAACGCTGTTGTAATAATTTTATGATTAAAGTATATCAAACCTAGTCAAACTGAAGGTCGAAAATGGAGGAGATCAAGGGGCCATTTGAAGGGTTTTCAATATACGGAGAGGTTTTTGACCTAAGCAGGCTAATTATTGAGTACCCTGTCACGATCTGATTGAAATGCGTAACGGAACACCCTCACTAAGGGTGTGTCCGATAAAGTTATTGAGGTCAGCATCAATATCAAAGATTTAACAAACTTCTCGGTTCAAGGCTTTATTTGTCGTTACAAGTTCTCTCAGTTGTCCTCCAAGTTGGGAACTTTTCAAGACTCAACTGATAACCTGTTTGTTACTTGAGAGAAGAGTATTTGTGCTCACGGAATGGTGTGGTCATCACTATGCTTTCTTATGAGACTGAAGTGTAAAATAAATTTTGCGATAGAATTGGCATAGATTGAACATTAAAACATCTGTCAAACTAAAGTATACATGAGCCATCCCTTAGAGGATTCCGCATGGGTTGTCGTTAATATCTCTTCGAGTAAGGAGTTTGATAAACCACTGATTCCAAATGTCATAATGTCTAAGCGAAAGACTTTGATATCTTCCCTACGATTTACCCTATATGTTAATTCTATCAGGCATTCATTATTGGAATTCCGCATTTGTCAGTACTGAAAAAAATTCTGTTTCTGTCGAAAATTACGATATAGGCTTTTCAAAATAACCAATAGGTTTGTATTAAATGACTTATTTGGGAGAACGACACATTGTTATTCGGAGGCTGTGGGATAACCGCTTGAATATTTTCAGAGGAATCTTTTTGACGACTCTTTCCATAACTTCAGCTGCAGTGGGAAGTAAGCATTTCAATCCACAGTTTGATGCATACAGTTAATTACTTTCTTTAAATACAAATTCGGTTACACATTGTTCAAGTATGAGGGTAGCCTGACCTTAATTAAAAACACTTAGTGAGAGTAAAGAAGGTAAAATATACGGAATTTGTGCGTTCTTCTGAGGTTTTCAACTGCATTCCATCTCAAGCTGGGTCATGAACCACATAATGTACTTGATTTTGATTGGCCGAATCTTCCGTGTTCTGATACCGTTGAGAGAAGGGGTAAAGAAGGAACTAGTGAACAAAGATCTTTATAAACCATTTTAATTCATTTTCTTGACTAAAAGCTTGGCAGATGATCACCAAAACTTCTAATTTTATAAGTATCCAGATCCAAAGTGTTGAATATAAACTGTATCTGAAAGGTCAGCGAAATATCACTGAGTCCTAACCAGATCAACGTTCATCAGTTAATCTTATGCCATGGACTGGCCAATGCGGTGGTCGTCTCACTATCTTCTTTGCACTCATTCTTACTAATACATTTCCGTAACTACGTCCTTCGTGTTGTACGGTTTAAAAGGCATCCATAGTACCTTGATACGACGAAAGGGTAATCCACGTCAGGTGCTGACCGCGAGGTGTGATTTCGACATTAGTTATCGGTCACATAATTCCCGTGTAACTCGAGTAGGCCACAATCATTCAGCCTAGATCATCAACGTTGATGATCTACATACATATTCTTTTTGAAATAATGCAATCGTCGTAGTGTCTCATAGTATTGGGATGTGAAAGAAGTATTCATCACACGGAAAAGATCACCTTTAAGATTATTAATCATCTATCTCCATTGTAGCGGTAAATTAATCCTCAAATCAATAACTCTGTAGGTCTTCGCAATTGCTAGCCTCATTAGATCAGTCGATTTTCGATATAATGATAGCCTATCAAATATATCTTCGAACCCCCTCGCTTCTGACTTTTGATTTCACTAGGTGGGCACGATTCATATTAGACGCTGTTACTGGTTAAACTATTGTCAAAATTCAAATATCTGTGGCACTTTTCCGTCAACAGAGTCATGCTCACTACTCCAGGACATGTTTTGTATTTTACTTTAGCAGCATGATAGTCTACTCTACGAAAAAAGCCGTACGAGGCACATTCGACTAGGACTTAGTGGACGCGACAATGAGTGATAACAAAACATAACAATTTTCTTAACAACAAAAAAGTCCAGTCTATTCCATTATTCAACAGTTCCTGAGAGGGCACATTGAGCTGTGTTGTTGAATAGGTTTACCGTCCTGTTGAGTTTGTATTATATGTAAGTTAGGATTAATTACTTAGGGAGAGGAGATTAAAAACTTTAAAGTCACATTTCAGCAGTATTTATACAGTTTTTCAAGCTTTTCCTAAACCCTTTGAAGAAATGAACCTTTCAAGAAAATCGGACTTTGCACAAGCAAAACTGCAGTTGTTAGGAACGTACAATTAAACACACGGATCAGCTGAATCATGTACATATGTCACACTATAACAGACAAAACACCTATTATATTGTTAGCGAATCGTATCAATTACTGAGATTAGTTATCGTATACTTCAACATCCACTCACTTTGTTCAAATGGAGATTGAATGAATCTTTTTTCTATTCACTTTCCCGTAGATCTATTTGGCAAACACTCTAACTGATTGTCGTTTGTCTTTGCCGGAACGACAGTTGATGCACACACTACCTCATTCAACAATATTCTATCCGCCACTGTTGCTTACAAAAATGTTTGCAACTTACAACAATATCAAACGAACTCCACGCCTACTCCTTACATGCCAAATATCAGTTTCAGAGTGAACACAAATACTCTCTTATGAAGACACATGCACGGACATAAACTCATGTGTACATGAGAATTTAAAATGGATGTTATCGCCAAAATCAAGAGAATCAATACCAGAATTAATAACAAGCATAATAGAGAAAACTTTATTGACATTATTAACAGCATAATGATGACGAGACAAACTTTTTGATGCGTCCATTAAGTTTCTTTTCTGCGAACATATTGGTTCTCGGAAAAATGACGCAAAATTTTGGTTTTATAATCTTCCTTGTCAGTAATTAATCGATACAGATAGCCAAAATGAAAGAACTCAAATAAAAATACATGTACATACATACCAGTTACCAAAGGAAGATATTCGGGGCGAAATTGCAGTCACTACGATGCGATATTATATGATGCGATGTATGAATCTGAACACAGCACAGTGTTACGCAAGACAATCAGAGGAAACTCATGGGATTTATCCTGAATGCGACTAAGGCAAGTGAGAATTAATATAAATTCACACACAGACTTGCGCACTTCGATCGATTCTATTGACCCAGGTGACATCTGATGTAAAGCACGTTTGTTGGAAATAAAAACTTCGAGCACCAATTCAGTGGTTTAGTGTACACCAGGATTAGCAATTTGACGCTAAACAACAATGCAACTCATAGTATGTTGAAATACTGCTTTTTGTAATAGTGTATGTCTGGTCATAGGAGTTTTTTTATTTTTTTATCTTATTTGTTGTCTTTGCACTGCTTAACTAACAGCATTCGAATGTTGACTCGTTCGACCGCATAAGATGAGTCTGATTTCTGATTTAGCATTCATCCAAACACAACAGAGTGATGTATTGTGGTGAAGTGTAATACAGTGTGGTGAGACGAAGTGAAGTGGAGTTGTAGAGAGTGGTGAAATGTATCGCTGACTTGTGAAGCGAAATTTGGAGAAGCGAGAGGAAGTGAGTTGAACTGAGGTGGGTGGGAGTAAAATGAGCTAGGGTGCATATAATTGTTTCACTTAGTCTTTTCTTGGGTGGATAATATAATGTTGTGTTGATGGGTTATTTCATTTTCACAGAGAGCTGAATCATCACCGGCAACTTACAAAAAGTGATTCAGTGCAAGCCTACAATCCCACAGATGTTGTAGTTGTCGTCTGTATAAAGATGCATATCGTTATGAGGTTAATTTAGTGCCGTTCGTCCCTAACAATATGACCCTTGAGGCTGAATATACCATATCTAGGAACATATACACTAACCCTTTCACACTTGATAAAAGTCAAAAAAGGTGAACTCTTAAACATTTGATTTAGACGGCATCTTTCGATTACGCGGCTGTGGTCACTGAGTTTAACTCATCCCTTCTAATAGCAAATATATTATTCTATCCCCAACTTGAGTCTGTTATTCAGGGGTTCGCAGAAAACATACTGCTGACTGTCACAAAAAGACGATTCATTATAGGCAATGATGCAATGTTCATCTAATATCATATAAAATAAGTGGTCATATCTTGGCATTTCCACAGTGTTGGGTTGGTTCTATCACTCTGGTAGTATAGAAGTAACGACTGGACTACCAGTAATCGGTTTGAACGCAGGACTGACGAACAAAAATTTATTCGAATAGGCCAGACCACGTTCTTCTGTATAATGTACGAAGCGTTTTTGAGATACTCGTATTAAATTATGACAAAACACAAACTCTGTGCTCAATTTAAACGGTTCTAATTTAGGAAATAGAACAAATTATGTCAAAAATACAAAATACTCCAAACGGTACAGCCTGTGCTATACAGTCAGAACTTTCCCTATGTAGCACGCTAAGTAGTAGCATGCTAAACAATAAAGAAACGGTTGATACCAAAGGGTTCGATACCTGAGAATCAATAAAAATATTCACAACAAGATAGGATCAAATATCTATTTTCAGGGATTCCGGCAATTCTCCCAAGCAAACAGTCAAAAGGTTAACAGCAACACACTGAACTACGCCGCGACCTTGAGCTTAGTCAAACACGACCTCACCGGCAATACTCCGGCAACATGCGACAGAAAATTAGATAACAAAACATAAGTCTTTAAAAAAATCACATAATAAAAGCTGAGACGCGGAAGACTGAAGAACACAAAGTGTAGTGAAAAGAAGTCTGAACAAAAGTTAAAATACACGAGAGGGAGAAGAAACAAATAAATGACAGTACTGTCCAACAAAATGCCGCGCAGGGATTTTTATCGTTCTCTTTCCGTTACAATAGATAAGTGTGCTACTATCAACCTAGAACTAAACCCTGCAGTCCCTTCCATCATCATGAAATGACGACAATTTACCACCAAATACTGAGTGAATGATCCATCTATGACATAGAAATTTCTAATGCAAAGCTCTCAGTAATTACTTTTAGCTGCGAGTTGTTGAAGGGCTTATCCGCCGTCCAATCAGTTGCATCTGAGAGTCTGATCTAATGAACTGGCCAATCTATACTTCAGTGAATGACACCAAAAATTCGCCTTATAACCACCATCACTCACTTCATAATTCGTCTATACACACAAACGCACCGAAGCACGCATCTGCCAACACGAATACAACTTTACTTACAGAATTATGCTTTTTTAGGTAATGATCAGAAATGAAATTGGAATCACCTACTTCATTATTCTTCACTTGGTCTACGTGTCTACTGTAAGCTCAATGGTCATTTGAATCAAAAATTTTATCATGTGATTACTCGTCCTCTGAATTGTAATCCACGTAGATGGTGGTCACTACCCTCGTAAAACTGCACTTTTTATGTTTTGTTCATTAAAGGAGTTCGAAGTATGCAAAATTTTAAGGCTATCATGAGTTGTTGAGTTGTCTGCATTGTGGTATGGAAGTAATAAATTTTCAGTGCATTCCTATAGCTTGTAGCGTGGTGTCGAGTTGAGATTAACTATGAACACTGTTACAGAGAAACACGTGCCAAGTGAATCAGAAGGCGAAGGTTGAACGTAACCAAATAAATCCATAAAATCCTTGAGAAGCCAAATACCAGAAGGCAGTTAATGGACCAAGTCGTGATATATTTGCTGGCGATCTCGTGGTATCGAAAGGATACCGAGATCGTGCCAGAATACAAGCCTGGTTACAGAACGTAACCGAATTCGCGCGAAGTCACAAAGTGTAAGTAAAAGAATGGAAGCACAAAATAGCTGTCATTAGCACAGTCAAACAAAAGCACATTAAAACAAACACTGGTACAGTTGGTTATAATAATAATTGTTTTTATTAAACTAGTCATGTTCTCGTGATAAATGTGAGTCACTACAAGCTCCTCTAGATTACTTGGATTCACTGATGTGATGGCACTCCTTAAAATCCTAACGTATATTTCTGTTAAACCGTTGGACTGAGGATGCTCTAGAGAAGTAAATAGATAACAGCTTCAATATCAGAAAACCAATTGTTAAATTCTTCCGTGGAATGGGTTCAGTTATTCGATAATAACACATCATGTATTCCTCCACGACTAAATATCTTCCTAATCGCAGTAAGGTGTCCGTTACGACTGTTCCTTAGTACTACTTCTGACCACGGTAATCCGCATGATTACGCTGCCACATTTCATAAGATGTAAGCCAAAGATTGCAAGTACGTTTATTATACGACGGCTCATGTACACAAGCGGGACAGTGTTTGGATTTTAGACCTATATCATCATCATTCTCAGGCCACCAGCAAGCATGACGAGCAAGTAATTTCATTTTCCATGCTCCGGGATGAAAAGAATGAGGATCGTTTAATACTGAAGATCATTATAACACAAGGAGCCTTCGGGATGAAGTAATATATGTTTTCTTCTCTTGTAAAACTCAGGATACCTACTCTCGCAATGTGTATTTAAACCTATTCTCACCGCACTTACGACAGCCTCAAAATACTTATGAGTATCCTTTTTAAGTTCTGTGATATCGACACGTAATGGCTGAACTAACATACAACCACTTCCCTTAATTGGTCTTTCGAAATATGAATAGGGTAACCGAAAACCTGCATGTGGTGTGCTTTTGGACACTCGGTGCTCATTGATACACTTAATTATAAATTTCACCTCTTCACCATGTGAGCGGATGGCTAATGGAGAGAATTAGTTGGATGATAAACAAACTTCAACGTCTGGCGATCAGCCACACCAAGCAAGTACTTTAGAAATCTTTAAACAGTCCATACCACAGCTTAAGATTTCATTTGGGTCTGAGGATGTCCTTGTTCACTCGTTCATAGTAGTTTCGAAATAAAAATAATGGACATTCAGCTTTGCTCTAGCACTCCACCAAACTCAATGGAGATGCATTTGTAGCAAAGACATATTATTCAACCGGTGAAAACGGTCAAAGAAAAGCTACACTATTTAAAAGCTGTATAGTGTTTATTAGTATATCTTCATGTCTTGGTTACCGTACCAACTTTTTACTAGAACTCAGTCCGAAAAGTGGAGGTAATACTTTCGTAAAGTTGAAAATAAATCTGGAATAAAATTGAAGAGCACCAATACATGGTCTGATTGATGAAATATTCGTAGGTGACTCATATCAGGCTTAATAACTTTACCATCTACAGCATATATTAGGCCTTGATAATGAAGATGACACAGGTATTCAGTGTTTGACAACGCTTTTACCAGCAACACCTAATATAACTCGTACCCACCAAGAGAAATCAAAAGACAGAATCGAGAAGATCAGAAGTTGTATTTGACGATTGCCAATATATCGGAATTGTCTGATCTAGTCTGGCTAGCGATTGCAGTAGATGTTGAGCACGGCGTTCCCACACGTGATCTGGTGCGGATGCATGACCGAGCGCCTTCAGCTAGGTGAGTCCACTAAAAACTAATCTGGTCAGCATCCAATGTCGAAAACTTATAGAGCTATTTATTTTGGGGATTTATTTACCGCTACAATAGAATTAAGTTGAACCTGACATTTTGTTGGATTTACGGTCAAATATGTGTAACAAAAGAGTCTAAGTAGCTTTGAAACACGTTCACTATGCACTTTAATATTTTCAGTATCAACTACGATATCATCTTGATAGTATTTATTACCATCAAGATCGAGGATATTCCGATATATAACCTTTTGTAATATTCCAGGGTAATCAATTAGTTTGAACGGTGGGAATTCTTATCTGAACAGCCTGCATGGTGTATTAATAGTAGT